AAAACTCCCATAAAACTCCCATAAGATCCCATAAGATTCCATTAAAAAACCACTTAAATCCCTTGTTGCTGGAGGCTTTTCCCCCTGGGGTTCGAGGCAACGCCACGCGCGGCTCTTCCGCAGCATGGCGGCGGCGATGTTGCCTGCGGCGGCGGGCGCCAACTGCCAGGATTATAGGGTTTTTTATGTTTTTTTTTTTTTATGGGTTTTTACCCTCCCACCATATCTGGCAGGAAAATGTTGGTATACCATGCTTTAAATGTTGGTATATACCCTCTGGTAAACGTTTACAAAAAACATATGGAAAGATTCACCACTTTTAATGGGAACATCCACGAACTGTCTATGGCCATGGCTTCAATAGCTATGTCACAAATTACCAGAGTTTTTTCGGCCCCAGATTTTTCCAGTTCGTGCGCGATATCGTTGGTGATATCGGTGGTGAAAAGGGGGTTTATAACTATGGGGTGAAACTAGTCAATAACTATATGGTTTATAGTGATATCTATGGTATAATCAATAAGAACATCAGATAACGATGGGTTATAGATGACATATCTATAGTCAATGGGGTTTATGAACTAAACTATATGATAGTATTCTATGATAATATCATGAAAACTATGGTTCTTATAGATAGTATTTGAGAATAACTATAGTAGTTCGTGTATGATACGCAAATAACTATATTTGGAATTATAAACCAACTTATAACTGGAGGGCCCAATTTTGTATCTATAGGTTGAAGTATCTATAGGAAGGGAGTCCGATGGAGGTTGAACTATCGGAGTTGATGCAACTTCGTATTGCAGGCAATCTATATTCTTAGCCAGCAAAAATAGATAAGAATATAGCGTGTATTGGCCCAAGAAAGATGGAACTTGAAGAGGCATATGCAGCATATTTATATAGACATGTTAACTACTTACTGTTGCTTTAAATATCTCTGGTAATTTTTCATGGTTACTCGGTTACCCCTCTTGGTAGAGCGTTTGATGGACTTGTTGGTGAAATCCGATTTGCACATGTATTGGGTATCACCCATAGTAGATATATCCATACTTGGGTATCTATTAACCTCCAGTCATCAATCATGGCAATATAGATTAATATCATTAAATATCCATACATATCCATAGATAGATAGATAGATAGATAGGTAGGTAGGTAGGTAGATAGATAGATAAACTAGTCATATAATATCGTAGATAGACATAAAACTTGCATAACAAACCATAGATAGATAAAACTAATATCAATGATTTACGGGCCCAAGTTATATTGACCTTTTCTTCAATGCTTGAACTGCCCAGACAAAATGGCCGTCGCAAAGTGGGAGCGGCGGCGAATCCCCGGTCGTTGATCCCACTGAGTGGCTGCAAAAATGGTCCATACCTCCATTTCCGTGCAATACATAGACCCTCTGGTTATTTAACATAGCCATGGAAAATGGCCCATAGAAATAGATGGTTTACCTATTAATAGCATGGTGGATCCTTCCATGGCTATGTTAGTCATAACCAGAGGGTACATCATTCATATGATATGTATCATATAATACATCATATTTCAGATTTTACATCAAAAAAAACACTGCACATCGGCCCCAGTCGGCCCCCATTAAGTTTTTTCCCAGCTGAAGCTCGCGCAGGAAATGGCCAACACAGTTGGGAAAGCCCAGTGACTAAGCTACCTGAGGTGCTCATTGTGAGCTTCACAATCCTAGCGACTGGTTGGTTGAAGTACCTAGGATTTTCGGCGCGGGGTTTATTTAGTTGTTATAATATGTTGTTACAACTAAAGTAACTATAACTATAGTTGTTATAACATCTAATAACTAGAGTTCAACCTAAATGTTATAACTATATATAACTGTAACTATAGTTGTTATGATAACTATAGTTTCACCGAAACAATGATTGTCCCCCCAAATGGCTTAACACTCGGGTGAAGATCAAATTTCTTGCTTTCCGCCGCGAATTCCGGAGATCCTGGAGACATGGTGCGTTTTACGTAGGGTCGTAGGGTGGCTGGATGGGTTGCTGGGGGTTGCTGGGATTATTGATAGTTTCTGTGGATGATTCCCGAAAATTCCCTATGTAAAACGCACTAAGAATTTCGATTAGTGTCTGCAGTCTAAATCCGACCTCCACTCCAACATTTTGGCAAATTTAAATCCGATAGCGCTTCACCAACATGCGGCACTTTCGATCACAGCTTAAAATGGGTTTTAGATCCATGAATTTTTCCGATACCTTAAAGCAGCGACTTTCTCTGATGAAATCCAGGAGGGTGGACTGTTTCTGGTTGTTTCTGGTTGTTGGTCATGGTTGGGTTACCCTCTGGTAAACCAACATAGCTATTGAATATCACCATTTTTATGGGAAAATCAACTATTTCTATGGCAATTTTCAATAGCTTTTTGTATGTTTACCAGAGGGTATAAACATCTATTAGATTTCATGGTATCCAACCTGAAAATTGGATCGTTTTTTTTCTTTGAATCCGCCCGAATCCTCTGTAGGGGCTGAACACTTTTAAGTAGAGTTAAGAATTATAATTCATATGGGAACGTGATACTTCAGAATTGCATTTTTCTACTGGGAAAACCATTGGATAGACTTTTGCATTCGATTTCTAATGGAAAATACTTCATAGGGTTTCAACCGTTGAATAAATCGACCGTGGTACCCATTTTTCTTTTGGACAAAGCAATATGTGAAGATTGATGACTTTTGTGAGGCTCAAGTCTTAGAATTTCGAAAGCCATTATAGGCGATTAGCCCAATTTGGAGAACAGGTAACAATGACTGTGGGTGCCAGTACGCGAGGATCCGGAAGGGATTCCAGTGACCATTACTAGTCGCAACCAGCCCTTTACTGTAAGATACCAAGACCAGCATTTGCTCTGATGATTGTAACATCCAATGCACACTTCAATCAACACAGAAATTGGAAGGAAGACAGTATATATTGATGATCATATGGCGAATGAGAATATTTGGAAGACCTTCTTTGAAGAGCTTCCCATGGGCAGCAGGCTAGCGGTGATGCCGCAGAGCATTCCATGACGCTTGAGGTCTCCTTGCCAAGTGGACGGTGTGCAACCGTCTCCGTTTTGGAGTCTGGTACTGTTGCTGACCTGAAAATAGCTGCTCAAAAGTCTTTGGTGCAAGGTTTCCTGAGACTTGCAGCGCCTGACGGACGCCTTTTAGATCCAACGAAGCCTCTGCGACTTTCTGGGCTTCAAGCTGGAGACCGCCTTATAGCTGTTGCACAGCAGCCAAAGATAGCTGCAACATGGCGTGCCTTTGCTGCAGGTGGTGTGATGGAGGTGACAGAATTGTCACGGCCATCCTGACTACGGTGGTGACAGCTCTAGGGTCCAAGATCAGCTCAAGAATGTTCAGCAGGTCTGTGGCAACAGCATTGCCTTTGCTGCGATTTTGGCAGATAAAAGCGTTGTGACCTGGGGCAGACAAGGGAATGCTGGTCAATGCAGCTCCAGAGTCCAAGATCAGCTCAAGAATGTTCAGCAGATCTGTGGTGCAGGAGAAGCTTTTGCTGCCATTTTGGCAGACGGAAGCGTTGTGACCTGGGGCGAACCAAACTATGGTGGTGACAGCTCCAGAGTCCAAAATCAGCTCCGGAATGTTCAGCAGATTTCTGCCACAGACTCGGCTTTTGCTGCCATCTTGGCCGGTGGAAGCGTAGTGACGTGGGGTGATCGAGCCTACGGAGGTGACAGCTCCGGAGTTCAAGATCGGCTCAGGAATGTTCAGCATATTTCTGCCGGAGACTCTGCTTTTGCTGCAATCTTGGCAGATGGAGGTGTTGTGACATGGGGCAATCCCCACTATGGTGGTGACAGCTCCAGAGTGCAAGATCAGCTCCAGAATGTCCAGCAGATTGTTGCACAAAGGGCTTCGAGGGTGCTTTTGCTGCCATTTTGGCAGACGGAAGCGTTGTGACCTGGGGCGAACCAAACTATGGTGGTGACAGCTCGAGAGTCCAAAATCAGCTCCGGAATGTTCAGCAGATTTCTGCCACAGACTCGGCTTTTGCTGCCATCTTGGCCGGTGGAAGCGTAGTGACGTGGGGTGATCGGTGGCGGTGACAGCTCCAGATCTATGGCACCAGCGGTACTTCTAAGCCTAAGCTATGGCGCTGACAGCTCCAGAGTCCAAGATCAGCTCATGTACCTCTAGTAGCGCGAGTAAGCATGCCAAGGCCGAAATGAACATGTCTGGCCAGCTGCTTTGCATTTGTTTGAGGTGGACCATCAAAGCCTCACATCCTACCAGTCTTAATTCTACTGAGCGGGCTGTATCTCACAGGACGTCTGCAATGGGCACGGTAGGGTCAAAATTGTGCACCCGCAAGATGGGGGCTTTCACGCCCATCTTTTTGATTTCACAACATTCGATGATTGGGGTTCTTGATGGTTCTTTTATGGTCTTTTATTTTTTTTGCTTCACCTTAAGTTTGTTGGCTTGTGACTCTACCCAATAGACTTCAAGACCATCAACATCCACAAACAATCACCATCAATTCACCACCAGAAGACTCCCAATTTCTAGCCATTGAAATCATAGCTGCTTGGTGGTTAGGAACATTTTTTTATTTTTCCATATATTGGGAATTTCATCATCCCAACTGACTTTCACTCATATTTTTCAGAGGGGTAGCTCAACCACCAACCAGAATATAATTCAACATCATGAAAACCATCATCATAACCATTATTAACCATAGATTAACCATAGATTAACCATAGATTATCCATAGATTATCCATTATTATTAACCAATGGTAGGTTGGTCAACCACCAAGCAGTCAAGTGTTTTTTTGGTTTTTCCCCTTATTTTTTAAAGATGCTCATCCAATAGTCCCAACTTTGTGAGTGCTTCCCCATATGGCAGTGTGTCAAAACCAATAGTACCCCTTTTTTGTTCACATCAAAATAGCTGGGATTTATGGATGTTCATCCCCCTAAAAATGGTATGTATAGGTCCTAATAGGTATTGATCCATAGCCATATGAGTGAATTTGAGTTTCCAATCCGAAAATCCCAATGATATCCCGATCGTTCCAGGCCTGGGCCTTTGGCACTGCCGACTTCCATGACGACGCTTTGCCCGGGGACTCGGGGACCGTGGCATAGGGTGGCTGCCAGGGTCGGAGCCGTCTGAGAATAGCGGGAAAATCATAGGCATCTGGCTGCCAGAGATGAAACTGATGGTTTTAATGGTTTGAATCAAATCTTGGATAAGTTGTGGAGAATTTATGGGATATTTTGGGTAAACCATTCCATAACTTATCCAGTTGTGGATAAGATTCGGTTTAAACACATTATCCACAATTGGAACATTATCCTCTGGTAATTTAACATAGCTATTGAAAATGGCCATTTTATAGTGGATTTTCTCATTAAAAATGGTGATTTTCCATTGCTATGTTAGTTTACCAGAGGGTAATGAACATCGTGGATAATTGCGGTATACCCAACAACATGGGAATATTTTATGGGATGGGATATGGATGGATATATCACTTATAATTCCATGTGATTCGCCAATGAACATGGGAATTTCATGGACGCACGCGTGCTTGAACAAAAGGGGCTTCCACTAAGCCAAATCAAGATATACATATATATATATACACTGTATATACATTCATCCCCGAAATTTGTTACGGACATTTCACAAGAGGACGTGGGGTTTCTTTGAAGATGATGCTTGCTTGTTTCAGCCCAATCTCGTGAGCTGTTTCATGTGAGTCGGATGGAGATTTTGCAAAGCACAGAGAGAATACAGAATACAACCGTATCCAACCTATTACCCTCTGGTAAACTAACATAACTATTGAAAATCACCATTTTCAATGGGTTAACTATAAATAGCCATTTTCCAGTTCGCTTTTTGTATGTTTACCAGGCCGGGTAGCTTCCATTCGATACCTTGGTGACTCATGGTTTACTGCGTCGGTTGCCGAGGTTTCAAGAATTAGCCGAGCAAGCCATTCATCGGCTGGAGGAGTTTAAACCACAGGCCAGTTTCCCATCGGCCATGGGGGATGGTGTTCCAATAACCCACCCAGGCCAGAGAACCATGGTGCTGGAAAACTAATCTTGTTGAAAGTGGTAACTAATCTTGTTGATACATGGATATAAAATGATATAAATGGTATGTGATGTAGTTTGATGTAATATGGAACCAGTTCTGAATCCTTTTAAAGTCTTTTTTTAACAGCATGCAAAATTCTATAAAGTATTGATACCAATTGCAGAACCTCTACCGTGCAAAGGGCCAACATATAGATAGAACGGATGTTCTCTGCTACATACTTGCAAAGAGAATTTCTTTTCCTTCATTCAGCAGTTGCCTTGACACTACCCATCCCTAGTTTTGCGGACTATTCTCTGCAGGCGGCTTTCTTTCTGGATCAAAAACCATCTGTCATTCCATTACGCTGCTTGGTTAAGAAGTGGATTACCATATTAGATCATCATCTGGTTGGTGGTTTCAAACATTTCTTATTTTCCATAGTATATGGGATAATCCTTCCCAACTGACTTTCATATTTTTCAGAGGGGTATGTATACCACCAACCAGATGATGATTCTGATAATCCTCAAAATACTTGGTACAAGATAACAACCCTCCAAGCATCAACCCCATCCGCTTTTTCTTCTGGTGTCCCAGCTTCCGTAACTCCGTAACTCCGTGTATCAGCGCAGGGCCTAGGGGTGCAGTTCCAGTTACTGTGGATGGTTGCGAAATCCTGCACCAGTTGATAGTATAGGTGGTAAACATCCCATTATGAACATAGGCTTTCAACCATCCCAAATTGATGCTGGTTTTCATGGGATTTCTTAAGCATCCACAGGTCAGGACTGATCCATATGGACAGGTCTCCATGATTAATGCTAGTCCCGGGCGATGAACACCAACCACATAACAATGAATGGGATTATTGTTATATATATAATATTATATATATATATCTGTTTTTTTTTGACTTCTTCAAGCATCTTTTTCCAAAGAACTCCCAAAAAGGACATGTGAATATCCGAACAACTTCCCGAGAGAGTCTTGTGTTGGCAAACTTGTTTATCTTGTTTGGGCTGTGGATTAAAAATTCAATATACCCAGAGTGGCTAGATTACGATGAAACGGCTTGATGTTCTATGAACTTCATAGAATGCTCGCATGATAGAAAAACAACTGTACCATCTGGTTATTTAACATAGCCATGGAAAATCACCATTTTCAATTTCTATGGGCCATCGAAATCCCATGGCTATGTTAGTCATAACCAGGCCGGGTATCATGATGAAATCAGATGATCTGAGTTGAGAAAATCCATGAATTTCCCATGACTTGTCCACACAGAATTTCGCACCAGGAAATCTCCAATATGCTTTGGGGCTTTGCCACCAACAGCTTTTTCCACGAGGCCGGGGCAGATTTTTGGCTCAAACGGAGATGCCCAGGGGATTACTGTAATTAAGAAGCCCTAGCAGGCAAGAGTTGTCCACCCCAATAAACAAAGAAAAACAACTAGCCGGCCTGGTAAACATACAAAAAGCTATTGAACATTGCCATTTATTGTTGATTTACCTCGTAAAAATGGGGATTTTCGATAGCTACGTTAGTTTACCAGAGGGTAGGGCTTGTCAGACATAAAAAAAAACAACCAAGCAGCCTGGTAATGATTTTAATGGGTCGAGATTTCTCTTTTCCATGGCAACTTTGATTTCAATGGGGTGAGATGGTGAGATTGGGCATGGGACATCAATTCAAAGCATTACTTTTTCAACCATTAAACAAGCAGTTAAAACCATTAACACATAATTATATCCTGACTACTGACTACCACATAAACAAGATTTCTGAGCAGGGTGTTGTTTCATAGGGGGGTCGCACATGTTTATGAATGGGGAGGGACCAACCCAAAGTAATATTGCCAGTTTTTGGAATATGGGTGTTGATTCATCCAGGTATCTGGGTAAATTTCATCACGACCTCACGTCGCGACCGAGCCCTGGAATCATGGTTTTTATAGGGAAATCATCCCCAAATGCCCGCAAGATTCAGGTTAGTGAATTATTATGATTTACCCAGATTAATCCAGGTATGATTATTAATATGAGCTTAACATTACCCAGCATTTTAGGAAAACCTCCATCTGGACATTCTATGGAATACGACCAATGGAAATCTATGGAAATTTCATGGGATATTGTACGTATTATCATGGAGATATGGATTATGGAATTTTGGTACATGTCATATTATAGTAGGAATATTTCATGGAATGTATGACCATATGACCAAATATCATATGAAGTTGGATGATGATATGACCATGTGTATGATACATTTTTTTATACACATAATGGGGGATGGTCGTTAATCCCTTACTACCGATTATATTCTCACTGCCAAGGATTCCCAGTATGGGATGGATGACCATACCCCATACACAATAGTTTGATATACTTTGACCATGGCACAGATGCTAAGATCAAAGAGGATTGCAGTTCGTAAATGGTTGGGTCGGTTAGGATTTTCCAACAGCTTTACGATCTTTACGTTGCAGGCAGATTGTGGTGAGATTCATTGATAACTCAACCACCAGTCGTGCATGTTTTGGCCAGGAAAGTCCGGGATATATGATACAACTGTAACCCAGTACTCAGTACCAAGTGGTGCAAATGCAGCGCTTGTGGATGTTTCGATAATGCTTTTGTTGGATACACCAGCCATGTGATTTCTCAAGGCTCTTGACCTCCAAAATGTTCGTTGAAGATGGAGAGAATGAGGAAGTTGGGAGAGAATCCATTGAAAATGGCAATTTATAGTGAGTTTTCCCATTAAAAATGGTGATTTTCCATAGTTATGTTAGTTTACCAGGGTATCAAACAGATGGGGCCCCCATCATTCTCGTCGCTTAGGATCCATCATTTTCCCAGCCCATTGCTTCATTTCGGGGTCAGCGAATACCCACACTCCCCTCGCGGACACTTTTTTGCGACCGACTACAAATAGATTGACATGGATGGTGGTGTTGAGGAGAGGGAATTCCATAGGTTTTCTTTCAATCTCTCTGATGAAAACTGGAGGGGTGGATCGTTGGAGTCCTGCGAAACCAGAGCTTACAAAAATGCCTGCGGCCCCTGCCGCCAGGGTTTTTACGCTCGTGCCGGCATGGTGGCACAAAATATGGACTGCCTTTTGGGGGGTCTCCCGGGCAGGGTCGAGGATGAAGTACCCTCTGGTAAACATACAAAAAGCTATTGAAAATTGCCATTTATAGTTGATTTACCCATTGAAAATGGTGATTTCCCATATTTATGTTAGTTTACCAGAGGGCATTATAAACAACAATGGCTATACTTGGGGGTTCTTAAGTCATAGGGGATCCTCGAGTCACAATAGGGCAATAGGGTTTTGATACCAAGTCATGGTTGTAGGATTATGGGCTACCACAAAATGAAATGTAATGGTTAAAAACATGTTTTACTATTCAGATTGCCATTTCAATAGTTCTTTTGAACCGATTGAAAGATTATTCAACCATAATTTTCCAATTTTCTGTTCTTCTTCACAAATTATAAACCTGTATATATATATATATATACACATATAATCCCTCCCACTTTTCAGTGGTTGTTACCTCAATTTTATTGGCAATCTATCCATCCTTGACCCTTGGTGCAGCTCTCTGGCGAGGAACTTCAGTCACAGCACTTGGCGAATATCCTTTGGGCCTTCGCGCGAGTGAGGCGAGCCGGGGGGGAAAGGCTGGGTGAATTTCGCTATTTTCCCAGTGGAAAATCCACCATGACTGGGGAAAATCTATAGGGAGTTCTTTGGGTGAACAATAAAGGAAATCCACGATCAAGTTTGGGAATATTAACTGGGGATAAACCCAACAAATTGTGCATGGATACAATGAGATATGATATAATCACACGAGATGTTACAGCATAACGGAATGTAATGGGATGCAATGAGATATAACATGATATAAGAATATAGGAATGGTATATCATGAGATGACATAATGGAATATTTGATGGTCGGTTGATACCCATAAGATGGGGGTAAGAACCACCGATTAGGATTTTTACTGGGATCAACCCAGTGATGCAACTGGGATTGATGATTTGACCAGTTCAATGGGACCTTTGAGGTTTCAACCAAGATGAACTTGGGCATATATCTATGCACATCTGCCACACGCCCAGTGGGATATCAAATATCAGAATATGAAATATCAGAAAATGACATATCAGAATATGAAATTCATATGCCAAAGAGGCTTTTTTTCCCTGAAATGATTCTGCTTACGGTACTCTTACGGTGCAGGATGGCACAGGTGCATCCTCCTTAAAATCCCTACGTTGGGAAGCCCCGAACGATTCTACGCAGACGTTGAATGCAGCTGATGTTGGTCGTGTTGGTCGTTAAGGACCAATTTACGACGTGGATTTCTGGTGACGAGTTACGAAGTCTTTGAATTTTGCGAAACGATGGGTTTTTTATCCATGACATTTCCACCTCAGCCACCTTCTAAACGTTTACCCCTTGGGTGATCATGTCTATTAGAAAACGAAATTTTCTGCCAAGATCGGTGTTGATATGGTTTTGCAGAACATATTTAAAAGGACAAAGAAGCGCCTTTCTGATTGGAAACTCTTCGCTTTCCAACAAAAGTACTGACATATTGCAAGAATAGTGCTTCCTTAAAGGGACATGTTCAGTCTTTTAAATGAGTGCAGGTTTCCTTTCAAAATGTTCAGTGCTCTTTTTCAGAGCAAAGTCACTTGAAAAACTAGTGCAATCTTTTAGGCCAGTGTGCAACCTTCCTTCGAAGGTATTCAGTACTTCTGTCCACAGGACAATCTTTCATAACATGTGCAGTCTTTCAATTGAATGCAGTCTTTCTTTCAAACAGTTTAGTGCTTCTTTGAAAAGACTAAAATCGATATCATTGTGTAATATGATTACATGCTGCTTTGATTGAAAGACACACAGTCACACAGTTGTTTAATTGAGTGCAATCCTTTCAAAATGTCTAATGATTCCTCAAACAATGTTTTAGAAGAAGCACATTCTTTCAAGCCAGTGCTGTTTCCTTTCAAATGTCCACTATTTTTTTGAACCGTCAATATACACGCACAAAATGCAGCATACATTTATGAATAAGTGCCATCGTTATATCAATACAGTCCCTTCAAAATGTCCAATGCTGCTTTCGACAAACCAATCTTTTGATATTTTTCCACATTTGAACCAGAGCAGTCTACCTTTGAGAATATTCAGGATTTTTTTTGAGAACCATATTGGTGCACAATCTGCAGTATTTGAAATTAATAGTCGTTTTACATGAGTGCAGTCTTCCTTTGAAAATGTCACCCTTTTTGAAAATGCAGTACTGTTGAGCAATTTGCAGCATTCTGTAGGATTTTGTTTTTCTTTTGAGTCGGCGCAGTTTTATAGCAAAATTGTCTAGCACTTCCTTTGAAGCTTGAGAAGACGAATTCTTATAGGAAGTTCAATCTCTGAAGCCTCGCGGTCTTTGACAGGCCAAATGTTAAAGGATGTACTGTGTCTAAAATAAATGCAGTATGTCTTTCAAAACGCCTAATTATACCGTTATACCTATATACTTCTTTTGGACAGGCAATATTTTAGAGAAAATGTACAGTCTTGCAAATGAGTGCAGTCTGTCTTTCACAATGCGCAACACTGGTTTTTACACAGGATAGTCATGCAGTCTCATGCGCTTATTTACTCATATGTTTACACAATACTTAGTTTTCCTGAGAAGGAAACCAAATCACTTTGATGGATATAATTAATGTGAAAGTATTACCGTGCTCCTTTATAGGAATCCTCTATAACCCTTCAGAAAGAACACTGCATACATTGAAGTTGTACTAAGTTACTAAGCTCTTCCACAGGGATACATGTTGGAAAGAGATACTGCACGTGTGAAACGCCTCTCCGACAAAATTCCATGCAACTGAAAGATTCTGGTAAATAGTAGCCGGCCGTTTGCCGCGAATGAAAAACTGAAGCACTGACATATTTTGGAAAATGGAGGTTTCAAAACCATGGCACACCTTTGTCTAAAGCAAGGAACGGAAACTTAGAACGTTTATGGCCCAAATGCATTGCCATCGATGGCATGCGTGGTACTGGATCCTGGATTCAATATTCCAAAGTTTTCGATTCAAAACTCCTGAATTCAAGATCCAAGATTGGGAATAACACTAACACTACACAACATTACATTACATTACATAGCATTCCATAGCATTATAACATTGCATAACATTACATGACATGACATAACATTACATAACACATTGCATACTGTAACATTACATAACACATTACATAACACATTACATAACACATCACATAACACATTGCATAACTCATTACATAACATTACATGCTATACTTCTAGATACATGTTTGTTGATTCGTACCGTGGTTTATTCCCAAGAATCCCAGGTTTTGACGGGTCAGAGCCAGCAATTTTGTCAAGGCCGAAGCATCCCTTGACACAGCAGACAGTGCTGGCACTGCTGCCTGTTTCTGGGTGGCGTAAAATGTCCACGCGGTGGCCGTGGTCACATTTTCTTTGAGCTGTGTTGGTCAAAACCAAGAAACCTCCCAAGGAATGGATAGAAAATGCTATTTTAGTGGGAGATCACAGGAAAATCATCCGTAAATTATGAAATAATAGGAAGGAAATAATGGGAACATCATCAATGAATGTGGATCAATTCTGGGAAATCACACATATTGTGTTTGTAAATCCATTGTTTAATCATAGTTCTCCTATACCGAATTTTCACACACCCAATATTGAGCTTGAGTTTGTTTACCTTGGTTTGAGGTCACATTTCATGACCTTAAAATTGTTGCTTTGAATTGCCAGGTGAATATCCGCTTGTGGATGCATGAACAAAAACAACTTGCTTCAGTAGGTCAATGGATTCACTTTTTGGGATACATATCATGAATGATATGCATGGATGACTCCGTATTTCCTGCAAAACATCAATTTGTTGCAGGTTATCTTGGGTTACTTATGTTTTTGGCAATCTTATCCGCTCGGTACAAAGTTCAGGTGTTCAAGGTTTGAGTGGAAATCGGTTGCCTTTGATGCCTCGGCATGTCTTGTGCTTTTCCGCATTTATCAGGAACCCTGTAAACAGTACTTTTTGCATGTTTTTTCGGCAGTTACCCTGCGACAATCAAGCATAGCCATGGCGAATCCCGCATTCATGAAGAGTTTCACCCTAAAATCATCTATACATTGACTATACATGCTGGATTTTCCAGCAAACCATGTTTGATTGCCGGCTTTTGCACCCATTTTTGATGCCTGATTTTGACTTTTTTGCATCCGCGAATGTTGGTTAAGCCGCAAAGTCAGTGCCCGGGGGATCCTGCCAAGTAGTCTTGGGATAAACCACTTACTATAGCAGGCTGTATAGCTCATGGCTGGTTGTATTATGGTATATCAATGGTATATCAATTATATTAGCTTATGGTTATAAATGGTTCATAGCTCATAGCCTTTTTTTCTGGTTGGTGCTTTGGAACATGACTTTTATTTTCCCTAATATATTGGGAATAATTATATATCCCAACTGACTTTCATATGTTTCAAGATGGTTAAAACCACTAATCACAAAGTGGGGCCCCCTAGATAGCTAAGTTGGTTTATAACTCCAATAACTATGGTTTATGGTACCTATAACTATAGTTAATGGGGTTTATAAACCAACTTATAACTGGGGGGCCCCACCTTGCAGATAATTGATTGACCCATTTATATCTGGGATAACCAGCTGAAAACTGGGACGAATCCGATCACCTGAATATCCGCACGTGACGTGATTCTCCAAGTCTTCCGACAAAAACCCGGTTTTTGTAGCCATGAATAATCCCCGAAAAAGTTACGTGGGACAAATGATGTCCAAACAAAATCGATATCCTCTGGTTATGACTAAGAGTTTGCGAACTTGAAAATGGCCCAGTCGAAATAGTTGATTTACCCATCAATAGCATGGTGACTTTACCCATAGTTATGTTTGTATGTTTACCAGATCGTATCCACAGTACAAACATCTCCCATGGTTGTCCCATGGCTATCCCAAGTATCATATCCCATGGAGAAGTATCATATCCCATGGTAAAAACCAGGTCCTACAAAGTGGGGCCCCCATTCGATAGCTAAGTTGGTTTATAACTCCAATAACTATGGTTTATGGTACCTATAACTTATTCATGGGGTTTATAAACCATCGTTCCATCACTGGGTAGCCCCACCTTGTAGACTTCCTCAACTACCGTTACGAACCATGGAATTTTTATCCCAGTGAGGCGATCCCCTCGGTTTTTGCCGCCTTCGCCGCGTTTCCAGGTTTGCACGCGACAGTTGGCAACGTTTAAACCGCAGGACGCCGCCTTCGGGTTTTGCAGTCGGAAGTCATTGGGGATGGGCGTGACATTTTTCTCGGAAAATCTGGGGAAAATCTGGGGAAAATTGGAGGATGATCCAAAGTTAGATGAGCTTTCATGGGAAAAAATGGGGATTATCCAAGAAAGTTGGGAAAATTTTCAGCAACAGAAATGGTAGTATAATGCGAATATCTCATGGGATATAATGGGATAATATCATATAATATCTGGATTAGTAATAATGACCTGTAACGTCCTTGGAATGATGGTTAGTAGGATGAATCATCCCCAAATGACCTTATATCAGCTATTTTCAGGTTAGTGAATCATCATAATTCTGAATGCGAATCACAAAGGTTAGTGAATCATCATATTTTCAGGTTAGCGAATCATTCAGAAATTATCATTCAGTGAATTATTCAGCCAGGCAATATTGAATAATACTAATACTTATAATGAACTGACATGTTGATAATCAACATATATGAGCACAATCATGACAACAACAATTTTAGAGTGATAATTTTGTTTTTTCTTTTTTCCATCATTGTATATAATTATATATACCACTTTCATTATTAATTAACCGATATCATGATATGAGAATTATATGGCAATATCAATGGATCCCGGGCCCCCCCCCAATACCAAACACCCTCCACATCGACTCTTGTTCCTAGGGGGTGTTTAATGTTATGGGGATAGGATTATATAATGGTAATCATGTATGCAATGATCAATAATGATCATTGACAACAGTCATCATAACTAATAGATTCTATAGATACTGATAGCAACTGTGATAATATCATCATCACAATAATACTCGTTCTCATTATGATTACGGTTTGCTGTCATCAGCAGCCATATTCAGCAACTTATCAACTTTGATCAACTTATACAGTCAACACGATATCTTTGGCGTGTGGGGGTATAGATCTCTTATTTGGGGTCAAAACTACCACCCAACTTCGGCGGCTTTTGCTTCTAGCAACATGTTTGGGTGAACTTACCCATAGTACCAGAAGAATTATGTTTATAACTGGATACACCTCGATCAGTTTGCAATTGATACACCCAAAGATACACCCAAAGAATCATGTGCACTTGGCAAGTGGATCTATATAACAATGTTTGGTTCGAAATCACTATCTTTACAAATGGATATCCATGTGGCCTCTGGTACTTTCTGAACCCCCCTTGGAATCGAAACAACATGACATGGGAAATCATGGGATATCGCCTCCAGTATACTAAGCTACTGGGCCCAGCAAGGTTGATGACTTGCATCATTGGATTGGTTAAAAACATCTTCACCGGAAACCATGGGCTTTTTACCCTCTGGTAAACATACAAAAAGCTGTTGGACATGGCCATAGAAATAGTGGATTTTCCCATGAAATATCGTGATGTTCCAGTTCGCAAACTGTCAGTTTACCATAGTTAACCATCAAAAATGGTGATTTTCCATAGTTTTTTGTTAATTATCGTCCATGAAATTTCATGGGGGCTTCCCAGAAACATTTTCCCGTCAACCCATCCAATGTTTTTGTTCGAAAAACCCCGGGTGATTTTGCGGACGGAGTGCACGGAGCCAGCCATCCAGGAGGTCTCCTCAACTTTGTTGGCCACCGCCAAGGTGGAATGAGTTTTGATGCATTTGATGGGTTTTAAGCCACTGAATTCATAGATGGGGATGGGTCAAAACCAATAGTACCCCTGTAGTTCACATCAAAATAGCTGGGATTTATGGATGTGAATAACCCACTAAAAATGATATCTATAGATATTGACCCATACCCAGATGTCCTTGATGTGCCATTGGTTGGTTGATGAAAAAAGAGGGGTTTCTTGAGGTTTACCCCTTTAACAACAGGTTTCTATGATGATAGATGGGATTAACCAGCTCCCGGCCCAAACCTATTTTTACCCGTTTTTTTTTTACCACAAGGACATCATTGATTGAAATGGGATTAGAACTGGGGGGACCCCCATTTAGGCTAAGTTGGTTTATTTTTGTCCAATATCTAGGGTTTAGTTCATGGGGATTAGAAACCAACTTATAACTGGGGGACCCCCATTTATGGAAACCATGAAGCTTGGGGCATTTTGATGTGGGCGAGTTTTTACCAGATGGAGATTGGAAACTGGTGATTTTATATGGATTTCTTGACCAGAAATGGTGATTTAAGGACACCACAAAGAGAGGGATTTGACCAACCAAAAACCAAGATTTCGATGTAATTTATGATAGGTTTCTCTGAGTTTAGGCCCAAATTGGATTGATTGTCGATGTATGTCTATACTTGAATGGGGTTTAATTTCAACAGACCGGAACCTGTTTCATAGTTTGCTAGTAAAAAACCCCTACTTTTTCTGGGTTTTGCCACAATTTGTGGTGGTCAAAACCTACTTCATAGAATTGGATGATGGGAAAATTTACAGGAAAGCCCTATATTTGATGGTAAAAACCATGGTTTCCTATAGATTTTCCCTTAAACCAATCCATTGACTACTGGTTGAAGCATCCACCTTGGAGGCCGTGGGAAGCGGCGACGAGATGACGCCCCTGGCCCCGACCTTGGAGAATTTTCGTCAGGAGGCGGGGCAGTCCGGTGATTCCATCGTAGCAATTGGTGCTTTCCGACAAGTCACAGGGGTACCCCCAGTTCTCATCCATTTACCCTCTGGTAAACTAACATAACTATGGAAAATCACCATTTTTCATGGGAAAATCCACTATTTCTATGGTCATTTTCAATAGCTATGTTAAATTACCAGAGGGTATGGGATTTTCCATGAAAAATCATCTTTAGTGGGTAAATCAACTATTTTGACTGGGCCATGGCTTCTATGTCGCTATGTAAGAAATTGCCAGAGGGTAAGAAATTCTGATGGGATTTTCCATGAAAACCATCCCAAGCTCGCTTGGGGTACTTTTATGGATTGGAAACCTCCATGTTTTATCGGTCTATTTTTCAGGTTTTTAGGGTCCTGAAATTCCCAGCTATTCCTTTGCCATTCACCAAGCTGCTTTTTGGGGCTATAAATCATATTAAATCATCCCAGAATCCCAGTCATAGAGGTAGAAGAACACTTCAATTATATATATAATATATATGGGAGCCGTCCGTAAAAGCAGGTCACAAATTTATGAATTGATGCGTTTACTTTGCTTTGCGCGATTGCTAAAACCTGCATCGCGATAGGCTGAGCGATTGGTTGGCGATTGGTTATACGGCTACCACCCTATTACTACTACTACTACTACTAGTACTAGTACTAGTACTACTACTACTAGTACTAGTACTAGTACTAGTACTACTACTACTACTAGTACTACTACTACTAGTACTACTACTACTACTACTACTACTAACTACTACTACTACTACTACTACTACTTTCGAGACCAGAACCATGCCAATAATTGACCAGAACCATGCCAATAATTTTGGACAACCCCCATATATATATATATAAAGATGGTTTATGGCCCTGGGTCTACCAGGTCTACCACATTACTTGGGAAATCTTGCCGAACATCAATTTAGCAAAAAAAACATGGGATTTCACCTTAACCAAAGAGTTGGGGTTTGAACTGTTGAAATAAAGATTTTTTTTTTTTTCAGGGACATCCACAAGAAAGCCAGGGACTAACAATTTGATAATTTGATGATGGAACAAAGAACCATGCTGATATCTAGCAATTTACATTTACCAAACTATAGATTTGATACCAAACTATAGATTTTCCAATGTTACCAAAATGGTGATGATGTGGCATCAGTTTTAATAGTTTTTTTCAGCACCCAACACCAGCCACACCAAATAGTTCTTCGGGATGATCTATTCCAAATCCAAATCACCAAGTGACGACATTTTTCGAAGTTAACCACTGGTCATTTCACATAGCGACATAGAAGCCATGTCCCTAATCGAAATAGTTGATTTGCCTATTTTCATAGCATGGTGATTTTCCAATTCGTTATATATGAGTTAGTTTACCAGAGGGTAACCACTTCAAAGACTTCAAATTTTACCGCACCGCTGAAACGACATTTTTTTTTGGCTGAATATAGAAGTGTAGTATATAGGTGGACTTACACTTAGAACATCATTTTTTGTCCGACTGCAAAAAACATCTATACACTTCGGACATCACCAAAAAGCAATATTTCACACTTAGAACATCAGAACAGTGTGAGAACCAAGGATACACTTAGATGCTTTTTAGGGGTCTCATGTTCTAAGTGGCTCTCTGCTGGCGGAAACAGGATTAGACATTGAAACACATGAACTTTCAAACTCTATTTTGGGATGTTCTAAGTGTAGACTGTGCCACCTACCTTCTGGTAATTTAACATAGCTATTGAAAAAAACAATTTATAGTTGATTTACCCATTAAAAATGGTGATGTTCGATAGCTTTTTGTAAGTTTACCAGAGGGTACCCGGGGGCATCCCAGAAAAAAACGAGCAGCATTCCACTGAGAAAGCGAAGACTGAAATGTCGCTGAGAATGCTGAGAAAATTGTACCGGAGAAACCTGAGAAGATGGAAGGTCCTAGTTTAAGTGGTTGGCCAGCATGTCACCCTAGCTTCTAAGCCATCCGGACAAATACAAGAGGAAAGGCTATCCGGCTATCCGGCTATCTTTTTACCTCGGAAAGTGAAGCTGGTCATCATTTTTTTGCACCAGCGAAATCTTAGGCCGATTCTCTGTGAGAAAAATCACCTGGTGATTCCTCCGAAAATTATGACGACTTCTGAACGGTGGTGATCCCCACAAAAAAACACATAGTTTCTGACATAGTTTCTGACATACCATCTGGAAGTATCATATGGCACATTTATTATGACGTTCTTTCTAGCATATATTCTGACATTCTTGTTGGCATTCTTTCTAGCATCTATTCTGGATAATGCTACCGAAGGAACTGAATCATGGGTCTAGAGTCTAGATCTGGTAAACTATAACTTGGGATGTTCTAGGGGGTATACCGTGCCGCCTACCTGTGGGTATCCTAGAAAATAGTATATATAATTGTTTTTTCAACTGCATAGAGTCTTTGCATAAGCCTTCAAGATATGGAATATAATCTATAGGTCTAGACTATTTCAACCTACATATGCCCCAAAAATGCTTTTAACCACCCAAAAAGGACACATCTGAAATGGGGGTACCCGGGGTACCCTCAAATCATCCAGAAGTCATGGGGGAATCCCACGGCCAGGTGCTAGATTTTTTCCATGCTTGCTTGTGCTCGCCTCAGCGTTTGGGATTTTCTTGTGAATGTGTAAGCGGAACAACTTGCCCCCGTCAACGAATTTGCTAAGTTGGTGAGCATCATGAAACAATCACTATGGGTTTTTGATACGCAAATAACTATAATTATATAGTTAATGGGGTTTAAAAAGCAATAGAAATTACTTGGGTCCCCACATTGCACCTGAAGTGTTTTTTTTTTGGGGGGGTCGTCGTTCAAAATCTTCGAAGATATTGACCTTGGTTCCAAATCCCTGGCACAAAAAGAAGCCTCCCCAGTATAGTTACGATATTGCCACAAAAAGCCGATACTTGGTGGTTCATCCCAGTTACCAAGTTGTTCATATCCCCCCAAATCTAAATAGGCTTCAGTAGGCTTAATCCCACATGTGCCGCACATTGGTGAACTAACTTCTTGGGATGAACCGCCAGTCATATTTGTCGGAGTCCCCCCTCCCAGCTACCTCCATGAATATCGGGATGTTGCCATATTTTCCCATGATGTTCGTATTAAAATGTCGATATTTATACAGGATTTTCCCAGCTATAAACCTCCATTGATAGAGGATATCTTCCCATATTTTCCCTATATATTTTCCCTATATTTTCCTATTATTTCTCTTTCCCTGTATTTCCCTTTATATTTTCCTATCTTTTTTCCCATCTTTTCCCAATATTTTCCTATGCTTTTCCCACATTTTCCCATGATTTTCCGATGGATTTTCGCAGTTTCAGGCCGTGGGTGGTGGCGAGGCTCCGGGACTTCTCGGAGCAATCCTTGGCGAATTCGGTGCCACAGTGGCATCGTGAGGCTTATGACATTTGTAATGTTACCATGCTGATTTTTGTTGGATATATCTATAAATGTAGTAGATACCAAGTAGATATCTATAATACAGATGTTAATATACAAATATCTAACCATAGTTTATTACCATTTGTTTATTACCATTTGTGATAATAAACTATAGATCAACAAATGTCATAATAGATACAGATTTTACTGATATTTGTAATATTAAGATCCCATAAATTTGCTTATTATTATATAATACTGATTTTTGTTGGATATATCTCCCATATGCTCCATGGTGCTGGTATATTTACCTACATTTGGGCCATTTATAGGGTAAATGTTGGTAAATATTCCATACATGGAGCATATGGGTCTATAATAAACTATCTATAGTAGATACTGATTGGTGAACTAACATAGCTATGGAAAATATCCATTTATAACTGGTTGGTGGTTTCAAACATGAATTTTATTTTCCATTTCATATATGGGATATCATCCTTCCCAGTGACTAACTAATATTTTTCAAGATGGTTAAAACCATTGACATTTATAATATTACCATACTGATTGGTGGTTGCTGGCAATGGATGGGTTGCTGGGGGTTGCTGGGGGTTGCTGGAATGATTACTGATAGTTAGCCAGTGGATCATTCCCGAAAATTCCCTGCCAAGCACCAGTAAGTTACATACTGATTGGTGGTTTGGAACCATAGACTTTTATGACTTTCCATTCAGTTGGGAATGTCATCATCCCAACTGACGAAGTCATATTTTTCAAGATGGTTAAAACCACCAACCAGATTACCATACCCATATGCTCCATGTATGGAATATTTACCAACATTTATCTTATAAATGGCCCCAATGTAGGTAAATATACTATACATGGAGCATATGGGATATATGGTTGCTTATGTAGCATCCACAAACTTATTGATAAGTTGACATTTATATGTGATATATATATATTTTACCATATGATATTACAGTACCCATGGACCATAGCTATTTCACCATACTATATCACCTACTTATATGATCTTTTGTGGGGGTTCCTAAATTGGAGGTACCCAATAGCTGGATGGCCCCCATATATGTTTCAAAATAGTGTAAAATGTAAAAAGGTTGTAAATGCATGGTTATAACATTAGGAAATTTAGGAAATATAGGTTGTAACATGTCGTAACATGTTGTAACCATTATTGCTTTAGTATGCTTTAGTCACATTAGATATCATTCGATCACTTATGTTTGACCAACAAAAAGAACGATGCGTGTTATTTGTTTGTTTGGTTGTGAGTTATATTCATTTTGATTTCCAAAACCAATATTGAAGAATATCACAACATGCTCCGGAAATATAACTATATAGACTGTATAGATCATTATATATATATATATCATTATAGATCATTATATAATATTATATTATATATATAGATTTTACATGATTTTACTATAGATCCAATAATGATCATCATTGTAGATCAGATCTATAATACTAAACCTGAATTCGTCAAATCAGAAATCAGATAAATCAGTCACCGCACTGAGATTGGCACCTGAATGTTATAAGCCCCTGATATGTTATAAGATACATGGAAAGTAATGGGGTTACCCTGTGGTTATTTAACATAGCCATGGAAAATGGCCCATTTATAGATGGTTTACCTATTAAAAATGGTGATTTTTCATGGCTATGTTAAATAACCAGAGGGTAATATGAGTTCATATGGCTTCTAATATGGGTCAATATTGGGAACGCATGGGAAAGCAGCGGCCCAAATATCTGAAAAAATCATGTGTGGAATTCACTTCTCGGATTATCCAGAGAAGTGATGAGGAGAATAGCCCGGCAGTAAAAAATCCGTAAGCTTTGAAGAAGTTAGGATAGGTGATAAGGGCCAGATATCCCAGTGATGGGGTTGGGCAACCCACTTACGAAGCATTTATTCAACGGATCATTGCACTATGATTGGCCAGCGTTTAAAAACGAATACACTGTACATACTCGGTTTTATCGTGTAAAACCGACAAAGCCACCGTACTTCAGCGACCACTCACCCTCCGATGATAAAAACGATGATATACCATGATAATTTCCTCTATTAAAAAGTTGATAAAATATACCATGATAAAATAATAAATCCCTCTATGATATACCGGTACCATGATATACCATGATAAAAATTCGGTGACTTTCCAGTTTGCAAACTGCAGTCATTAGACTCGACACAACTCGCCTGGCATCCGAAAACATATCACCAGTTGGGTGCATCGATTTCCATGGTCATTTTCATGGGATCCCATATCATGGGAGTAGCCTCCGGGAAACGTTTACAGAACCATGGAAAATCACCATTTTTAATGGGAAAGATCCACCATGCTATTAATGGGAAAATCCACGAACTGTCGACTGGGCCATTTTCTATGTCGCTTTTTGTATGTTTACCAGGCCGGGTATGCCATGTCAGTCAGCAGCATTTTCAGTCACCACTTCAGTCACCATCAACCAGGATTCCAGGGATCATCGATTGCGACCAAGGTGAGTGCATACGCCATGGTTTGGATCTTAGCACGGCGAGGTGAAATGGGTGAAATGACTTGGATCCCCGTCACCGGTTGTCAAGCTATACAAGTCATGGTTCATGATGGGATGACCCATGGGGTACCCCCATGGCTGCCAGGAAACGTGAAAATATGGTGAACATATGGAAATGAAGGATGTTTTTTTTTCTGAAAGCTAGTTGGAAGCGACAATTTGTACTGTACAGCTTTGCTTTTAAAATAGCACGCATTTTTTGCTTTCCTGCCACTTTTCGAGATGACTTCACCAGATCCAATTGGAAGTACAACTTTGAAATGCATTTCATGAAAAAGGAATCAGACTGAGGACTTCAAGAGTATTTGTTCCACTATGGGGTACTTTGCGGCGGCCATCAATCTATTCATGTGGAATGATATATACATACCTAGCGAACCTAGAACCCTAGAATTTGTAGGTCCAAAAATGAAAACCTGGTTTTGGAGGAGATTTCCAAAAAAGACAGTTTTTAAAAAAAAAAAAACACATGTTTTTTTTTTTTTAAAGAACCTATCTTTTTTTGCCCAGTTAGATGATGTTTACAAATATCTTCGCAAGGGAAAACGTCTACAAATTCCCATGGAGTGGCGCCACTTAATTCCGAAACCATGAATTCAATAGGAGTGAGGTTTCTATTTAATTGCCTGGGATGAGGGACCAGAGCTACACATCCTAACATTTTCTCTTGGTTTTTGAATTTTGGGGAACAACATATGTTTTTTTGAGCACTGGCGCACGAAAAGATAGGTTCTTTTGAAGAACCCGTATTTATCCCGTAGCGAACCCGTCATTTTCCCGTAGCGAACCCGTATTTTGTTCAAACTGGGCAGAACCTATGTTCTCAGAACCCGTATTTAAACCGTAGCGAACCCGTCTTTAACCCGTAGTAAGCCGTAGTAAAAATATGGGTTCTGGGCTCTGGTTCCTAGGTGCCCTGTGACGGGGGTTTAGGCCCGATTTGCAGGACAAGCTTGCTCCAAAAAGTTGGATCCATGACTTGCTGCCTCAAAGCTGACGCTTTCAGCATTCTTTTCTCAAATTATAGGGATGTCAGGAATGATACATGTTTTTTGTGGATTCCACTGGATATGATGGGGCAAGTGCAAAAGATGATGAAATATCAGGAAGATAAAAAACAGGTTCTTTTTAAGAACCTGGTTTTTATTGTAAAACCCCGGCTTTTTTCACTGGCCCTACAATTTTGCAGGTCCCCGGTTCTCTTGGTAGACTTACACCCACTAGATGTCCCAAGTCACTGGGTGAAAAAAATCTAATATCTGATGCATCCTTTCAATCTCGGTTGTATCATTGTATATATGTGACAAGATCCCACCCCCACCACCATAGACACATGGCTGATTTTGTGTGTCAGCTCCAATGGGTTCTAGTTGAAAACGCATGTGAACATCATGCAAGACAACAATGAAGATATGCATGACAGGCATGTAAGGCATCCATGGAGTGTTTTTACCATACCCTCTGGTAATTTAACACAACTATGGAAAATCATCATTTTTCATGGAAAGTTCACTATAAATGGTGATTTTCCATAGTTATGTTAAATTACCAGAGGGTAATTCTAGCACTAGGAATCATAAGGGTTCAACGTCTGGAAATTCTGTCCGTTTGGCCTCACCATCGCCATCACCACTCTCATCGTCATCATCATCAGCAGCAGCAACATCATCATCACATCACCCCACTGCTTATTTTTTGTTATATATATACATATATATATAATATACATATATATATTCATACATATATATATATACACATATATATATATATACATATGTACATATATATACAAACACATATATATATATATATACAAACACATATATATATATATACATAAATACACGCACGTATATTTAGATATACACATCCTATATCTATGCGTTAATGTGAATCTATACATTTACATAGATATAGATATTCCTCTTATCAAGCGCAACATCACCCCGGCGGGGTCGCTGGGGGCATCAGGTGCCAGTACGCGGGTCTGAAACTTTAGTGGAGTGTGCGGGACAGGAGGTCTCCAAACGCTTGAAGGACGGCACCGCGAAAGGAAGGGATGAAACTTTGTTGATGATATATCACCAGTTGAAACTTTTTGGGGGGATACCCTCTGGCTATTTGTTACATAGCCATGGAAATATCCACCATTTTTCATAGGTAAACCATCTATTTCTATGGACCATCTATCCCATGGCAAACTGTTAGTCATAACCAGAGGGTATTTGATGTGGTATTTCAGGGAATAGGAAACCAAAAACATGGGAGATCATGGGATTTATCACCAAGATATGGGGGATTTACGTCCCCAACAAGTTGGGCTCTTAACCCAACAAAAATGGTGATGTGGAATATGCACCCAACTGAATCTGATGACTGGGTTTGTCTAATTTTTTTTTGGATTGACCGTTGGATGCATCTTATTTTTTTGTCCAAAACAATAGGGGACATGATGTTGAATCACCGGATTGAGAGGTACCCTCTGGTAAACATACAAAAAGCGAACTGGAAAATGGCCATAGACAGTTCGTGGATCTTCCCATAAAAAATGGTGATTTTCCATGATGATGTTAGTTTACCAGAGGGTAGAGGTATCCTATGTTCAGACAGACCCACTTCGGACCCACAATAGATCTGAGACGTCGACCGCAGCCCATTTCGAAGCTCATCCAATGGTAGATACCCTTGTGCTATTTCGCTATTTAACATAGCTACGGAAGCCATGGCCCATAGAAATAGATGATAAACAGGATGATTTGGCTATAAAAATGGTGATTTTTCATAGCTATGTTAAACAACTGTAGATATATTGTTTATATCCCACCTCAAAACTCGTTACATAGCCAGGTGATGGGGGACTCCACTATCTGCAAATATCTCGGTCAACTGTGGGGTCTATGCTACTTATAGCTATAGTTAGATGGGTAAATGTAAACCAACGGACACAACTGGGCGGTAAAAGCATGTAAAAGCAACATCCATCCCCACATAGATCAGAGTGATTCACAGTGTGCCAGTTTTCAAAATGTTCTACCCTCTGGTAAACGTTTACATAACTATGGAAAATCACCATCTTTAATGGGAAAACTGACTATTTCTATGGCCATTTTCAATAGCTATTTTGACATAACCAGAGGGTAAACCATCCCTCCAATCACCATAAATAGGTGGTATGTTTACCATTCCCAGTCATGGGTGGTTTATGACATTGTTGTACCCACATGAATCAGGTCCAAACGCAGAAGATTCCCGACGACAATTCCTCCAAATCTCTGCAGGATTTGGATGTCAATGCTCTAGTGCACCTGTTAAAGGACAGGGGATGGGGATGACGGGAGACGGGAGATGGGGATTGGGACAGTCATACTATGTTTTTTCTTTAAATATATAGTGGAAAGTAAGAATATACTGATATAGAAGTGTATTATCATAGCTATATGTATATATATATATACAATGACTATAATCCAATAGTTATGATTTTAGTTATAATTGTATAATGGTTATGAAATGATTATACTAAACATCGAAGTTAGTTATGTAATTATAATTCCATGAATAATAGTATATGATTTAATTAGTATCAATAAAATGCTATCCAATAGTAATTATAGTCCAATAAAGACAGGACATGATTGGGATATACTCTCTGGTAATTTAAGTCAAGTTACATATCTTTGGAATGCTTGTTGACCATAGATTAACCAATGAAATTTTATTTTTTCCCATATATATGTTCAATTACCAGAGGGTAGTTTGAGTCGAAGGCCATTCCGAAATAAGATGGCTGAAACATGAAAACCGTTTGAAGTTCCCCCGATTTGGTCGCGAAATCACAGCTAAACATTTTTTGGGACAAAGGTGAAAACCGGCAGGATGGGGATATCGCGCTCAAACGTTGTTGTTGGACGTATCCGATGTATCCCCAGTGCCAGACTACTTGAGTCGAACGGGATCCTGGTGCGTTTTAGGCAGGGAATGTTCGGGAATGATCCATAATGTCATCACATTCGTAATGTCATCATCCCATCTCCCCAGCAACCCATCCATTCCCTACGTAAAACGCACCAGTAAGTTAATGATGGCTGATTCTTTGGGTGTATGAATGGGAATGTGTTTCTTAATGGGATTGTTTATGATGTTTATTTTGTATATGACACACATCCAATGAAAAGAAACACATTCCCATTCAGAAACACGTTCCCAAAAAAAATCAACCATGATGATGAAGGTCATGTGCCCATTGTGAAAATTATCATATCGCTATTGCTAATGGAGTATATCTTCAGTAATATCATATCAAACGATTATCATATTTCATTTCCGCATTATACTAGGTTTAGCACATTAACTTTTATATAACTATAATTATGATATAATCATTGCTGCATTGTATGACAGTATTGGACGTATTGGATAACCATTTTTGATGATATCATTTTGATCCTCAATGACAATAAATATGCTCATTACTAAATGCAGTTTTGATAAGTATATCTACTATTGTTTATATCAGAAATATATATATAGTCAGTTGATTACTAGTATTGATAGTCCATTTCTAAATGTTGCCAAATTGCTTCCCCATGGTTCCAAGGGCTTCTCTTTGTTCCCAACGAGCAACAGCAGCGTGAAGATCGTGAAGGCCGTTGGATGTTGGATGTGGGAAAAAAAAACAACAACACTGGTGATGTTGGCTGCGTATTACCGTTGCGCAAAAATGATGTTTTGATGGGTTTCACGAACAAAAAGGGGTGCATTTGAAGAACGAAAATTGTGATTTAACCAACCAAAAGGTGGAATTAGCCAATAAAGATGCTGGTTTGACCAGCAAGCAGGGTGGATTTTAACAGTAAACATTTTTTTTTGTAATGGATTAAGTACCAAAAACTGGGATTTAATCACTGAAGATTGACATGCAACCAACAGAAATTGGCATAAACGAACAGTTACATTGGGATTTAGCTGACAAAACTCAGGGACGTAACGCGCAAAATGCCTGGCAATAGCTGGGTATATGTGAACACCAATCAACGTTTATCACCACATGTTGCAAGAGAATTTCTGCTAGCAATTATAATTAAACATATGTATATATATATATCCCATATGCTCCATGTATAGTATATTTACCTACCTTTGGGCCATTTATGGGGTAAATGTTGGTAAATATTCCATACATGGAGCATATGGGTATAGTATTATCTATAATATGTAAACTATGTAAGTACTTTGATCACCGAAACTCTTCATCGACCTTCCTAATATTGATAGGCAACTTTTTTTGAAACCCCAGTTCACGACGGGTTGGTCGAAAACATGGCTGAAAGCAATCCGTTTCTGGATCAACCATTATATGTGATGACCCAGAAGCATCAGCAGACATATTCTGGTTGGTGGTTTGGAACATGGCTTTTATGATTTTCCATATTTTGGGAATGTCATCATCCCAACTGACGAAGTCATATTTTCCAGAGGGGTAGGTATACCACCAACCAGATATTGTTTAACACCACAATGTGGCCACGAGAATGAAGCGCCACGAGATATTTTTACTCGCTGGTTTTTGGGTTCTACGAACTCTCCCCATTTTTTGTGCGTTTGTGGCCTAGTGTTACCATGTTAATACAGTCCCTTTTTTTATATCCCGACGACTAATTCCAATTGATATCATTCCTGTATCTTCCGATCAGTACGGTCTCAATGATGATCCAATCTACATCAAATTTTGGAAAATCTCTCATTTAGTTCGTCTATTTTCCCGAGATGGGGGCCTCTATGGCTGGTTTGGGTATATTTCCCAGCCCTGTTTATGACAAAGGAGTGAAATTTAACATGATATTCATATATATTATAATATATATATATATTATAGTTTCCAGGATGTTCGATGTTTCCGAAACTTTTCCAAGTTATTTTCTCATTTTGGGATATTTTTTGGGACGAGTTGGAATCGCGAGGTCTTGGCCGATATCATCGCTACACAGCTCGACAAAGTACGCGCTCAAGATCCTTTAATGCAGAAAAATGGGATTTTCATGGGATTTTCAGGGATCTAGATGGGATGATATAACATATTAAATTGTCCCATATGAAAACTTATGTTTCTTTTTTGTCATGGGATCATCATATCATATATTAAATTGTCCCATTAATGTATCGTGGGATTATATATAATTCATTGGATTGGTTTGAGGGAAAATTTACAGGAAACCATGGTTTTTACCATTAAATATAGGGGTTTCCTGTAAATTTTCCCTTAAACCAATCCAATGGACAATGGATAAATCATGGGGAAACTTATGGAACATTAAACTTGTCTCCACCTTATGACGATGATAAAGTCGATGGTTCACTGGGGGAACCAAAACAAACATGGGAGATTCACGCGAGATATATACCCTCCAGTAGAAAATCAAACGTGGCTGGGAGATCCATTGTAAATGGAGGCTGTCCTGGCATCTTGTAGCTGGTAAGTCGTCTATATCTGGATGAATTCTGGTGACACTGGAATGATGGTGAACCTACAGGGGAATCAGCCCAAATGGCCCTAGCCACGTTCAATGAATTATTCAGAATTACCCTCTGGTAAACTAACATTAATTATGGACAATCACCATGCTATTATATAATGGGAAAATCAACTATAAATGGTCATTTTCAATAGCTATGTAACAAATTACCAGAGGGTATTCATAATTCACCCAGAATGGGTTGCGTTAAAATGAGGTTTTTTTCGGCAAAAACTCATACCTTTTGCCATCAATGCTGATTCAGTGGATGGCTTTGTCCTTCATTTTCAGAAACCATATATTTATTATATACACAATTATACACATATTTTTTGAAGCATAGATCCGGGGAAAATGATGACCATTGAGAAGCTTAGTGCTTCACTAGAAATGATCCACAGATTCTTTGGGATGAGAAGATCGGCCTGAAACTGCCAGAGTTCTGGGTCAATTTCGAGGGTTTTAAGTGGGTTTTATGTCAGTTTCAGATGATTTAAGCCTAATAGTACTAAGCTTCTTTTGTATATAAATTTGACATAGAAACTCAGATCATGAAAAATGGGAACTTTTGAGCTCAGCGACCAGTTTGGGTTCTAAAAAAAGGGCGGATGTTGAGTTGGCCGAACTCAATCTGGTCATTTCGGTGGGGTTTCGGTGTGATCGGTGAACTTTTAAACAGGGTGAAATAGTGAAGTAACCATGTGACTGAAAGGGGTGTTCACCACCAAGTATCATGGATTGTGGATATTCTATAGTGACCTAGTTAGTCTTGGAATGATGGTGAATGGATTCCGGGAATCATCCGCAGCCATGGCCCAACCCAACATTTCAGCTATTTTCAGATGGATTTCTGTTGGTGGGATCAGCTATACAACTCACAATCCATTTGGGTTTGTTCAAAAATATGATATAGGCCCCAACATCCGATGCTTCATCCTCGTTTTCCTGATTACCCTCCGGTAATTTAACAGGTATAGATGGCCTATTTGTAATTTACCTATGAACATGGTGATTTTCGATAGCTATGTTAGTTTACCAGAGGGGCATCCCCCCATTCTCAGAAAAGCCAATGACATGTGTAAAAAAACCCAAACAAAGCCTGCTGGGACACCTTGAATCTCCAAATTCGGGTGGCTTGCATCCTCAAAAGTATGGCCAGTCCCTCATTGTGGAACGTATCCATGATTCATTAACTATATCTATATATATATATATACATATCTATAGTAGAATCGTAATTTTTCAAAGATTAAATCACCATAGCACCATAGACTGCCCCAAAAACGCCTTGATCGCCCTGGAAAAATTAGGATTTCCCCATCTTCAAGGACCTGAATCCCCAGCTGCAACTGGTGCTTCACCGTACGCTTTTTGACTTACGACGCTAAGGAGATGCAAAGCCTTGGGAGGTTGCTGAACCGAGGCAGGTTTATGGTCCTGAATGGAACTGGTCCAACCAGCAACACACACACACATTAACCAAGGATAGTGATCATTAACCATATATTAACATATATTAACCATATGAATATCCATGGAATTCCCATTGATTATGGATGATTTTCCCATTGATCCAATGCCATTGATAAAAACCTGGTTGGTAGGGACCTCCACGATCCAAGCTAAAGTGGCCGGTGATCCAATTTTTTCGGCTTATCTTTTGGGTACGGGGAAACCCAGGGGGTATGTAAACCCGTATGCAAATTTCCAGGTGTATCTTAATTGTTGTGGATGACATCGTATGACTCCTGATCCATCCTAAATGATGATCACAACGATGATCTAAACGATCCGAGGCGCGGCACAACGAGAGCTTGACTTTGAAGAAATCCAGAAGCGTTTGGTTTCCCTAGCACAAAACGTGCGCCAACAGAACGGCGATTCGTCGCTGAGGTGGTCCCTGTCCCTGGAATGATCCCAGTTCGATTGTAGACATGCAATACTGCCCTAGGACTCTGGAGTAGTTTGGGAATCGATATCCCACCTCTGGTGAACTAACATACCTATGGAAAATCACGAAAGGTACCGTAGCTATGTCAAATTACCAGAGGCTACTTGATAGAACATCTTACACCATCATACATATACATGATCTGGTTGGTGGTTTCAAACATGAATTTTATTTGCCATTTCATATATGGGATGTCATCCCAACCCCATTGACTTTCACTCCATCATTTTTCAAGATGGGCACATTGCACCACCAACTAGATTATTTTTATTTTTTTACCATCATTATTTTTATAGCCATTAATATTAACCATTATTAACAGTACCCTCTGGTAAACTAACATAACTATGGAAAATCACCATGTTTAATGGGAAAATCCACTATAAATAGCCATTTTCAATAGCTATGTTAGTTTACCTGAGGGTATATATCAACCACAATGGTAGGTTATTGCACCACCAACCGTCGTCAAAATGTCACTGGGATGATTTTCAGCGTTACTCGGCAAATGCCATGCCTGAGCTCGCATTTCATGTTAGTGATATATGCTGTGATAATTTACATAGTCATATACATATATAGATATACATACGTATATATATATATATACATACATACATATATATATATAATTATATATGTATGATCGTTGATCCACATCTTAGATCACAACTTTTCCTGTCAAGTGACCCGTATATGCTTCATGTATTAGTATATTTACCTACATGACTGGACCATTTAGGGTTGGTAAATGTTGGTAATTGTTTTCCAGCACCATGGTTCGCACATGGGTGGTCCAGCGCTTCCAGGTACAGATTGACGACACTCAAGTCTTTCCCCAGGCGCGCGGGAGGGACATTTTCGATGATTGGCCGTGAATTTAGAGTTTTTTGACATGACAAAACCATCAGACAAACCTATGAAAAGCTGAGAAAATATGGTCTCTACAGTGGTTTTGACCAGTTTTCACACGTCAATTCACAAGACATCAACAGATTTGAAGTGTGAGGCTTTCCATTTTCCATCATTTTCCATTGAGCTGCCGGCATTTTTCCGGAGTCAAAGGTGGGAAGAATCGGCCATCAAGACATTCGGAAGAATCGCTAGGTACATCAAGTATCTTTTCAATATGATCTGGGTAAATTATAACGACCTCACTGCGACTGATAGTTAGTAAGGAAAATTATCCCAATATGGCCTTAATTCAGGTTAGTGAAATATTATAATTTACCCAGATATGATGATACTCCATCAAGTGATAACCCATCTATACCTTTGTAAAAATGATTAAACATGTGTTTTTTTAGGCCTACTCGGAGTATCCAAAGCATCATCCTTCGAAAATCCCGTCGAGCGCCGTCGCGCCAGCCTCCCGGTCTGGCCTCTGGCGTGAAGGTGTGAATGGTTTCACCGCGTGGTGAATGTGGATGAATTTTTCTGGGTGAATTCAGTGGAATATGGCTATGAATCAATACCTATAAATACATATAAATACCATTTAAAGGGGGATGGACATCCATTTGCCAGCTACTTTGGTGTTCATCAGGGGTACAGGGTTTTGACCCATATGACCTTTGCAAACAGTACCCTCTGGTAATTTGTTAATGTCAACCCTGGATGAATGATAACCCCGTAAAAACGGCTGTTTCATTGGGATGCTACCATAAAAAAGATATTATAGATGAAATGACTATTGGAGGAGTACCCCCTTAATTAATAAACCATGGTTCATTCATCCGGGGTTGACATTACATAGCTATTGAACATGGCCATAGACATGGTTGATTTTCCCATTAATAGCATGGTGATTTTCCAGTTCGCTACGTAAACGTTTACCAGAGGCTACTGTGTATAACTGTGTATTCAATTTTTACTTTGGGATTTCTTGGGTTATATAATGTTATATATAGTTCATTTGGGAATTCACTAGGATTTTTTGTGGCTTTTGGTTTATTTCACATTGGGTCATGAGTCATGGGGGATGGACAAAGCTCCACAAGCTAGGACGGAGCTAGAAGTTTGGAGTGAGCACCTCATTCCAACCATTGGTTAATCCACTGGTTAATCCCACCAGTGCCATTGAACCAGGGAAAATGATGATCATCTGGGTGGTGCTTTGGAACATTTTTTTTTATTTTTCCATATATTGGGAATAGCAACCCCAACTGACTCATATTTTTCAGAGGGGTAGGTATACCACCAACCAGTTATGATTCATGGGGATACAATTCATGGAATATAATGTGATATAACCACTCATATGGGAATATGGGGATAAAATACAATCGGCAGATCATAATGGCACATAATTAATGGGATACAATGTCATACAGTGGGATATAGTGGAATATGTGTGTGTATATATATATATATGTATTATATACATCCAACCGCCAAGCGTATAATGAATGATGTAGTCCCTATGGATCCAGGGGTATGATTTGGGGGAAATTGTGTGCTTTCAGGAAGGTAGTGTTCGGATCCATAGGTTTTTTCTCACACCCTTTAGTTTGGCTGCATCTCAATATGTTGGGTCGTGTCCCCGCTCTTCATGGTGTTATTCCTTGCATGCCATCACTTGCCGATGTTTGCTGAAGCGTTCATCTGGACGGCGAGGTACAACAGGCACCACAGGTACCGCAGGTACCGCAGGTACCGCAGGTACCGCAGGTACCACAGGTACCGCAGGTACCGCAGATTGCGATGAGCCCATCTACCTTCCCTCAGGCGCTCTGGGGAAGAGGGGAAAGGTGGGGTTTGTTCGATTCCAATTGGGGCTTGAAACAACAAACTATATGCACTATTATGGAGTTAGGATTAGGATGAGTTCTGTCATCTGTTGTCTGTGGATTCCAAGTATGGCTGAAGTTTCATAGAAACCATGGTCGGGTGGTTTTTTGGTGGATTCGGGAATTGTTTGGCAAACGGAAGGATTCAGCATGCTTTACCCCTCCAATCTTTCAGTGCCATTCAGTTTTGACTCAAAGACCAGACATTGACACGGCATTTTAATGCATTTTACATATACTGGTGGGTGGTTTGGAACATGAACTTTATTTTTCCCATCATATTGGGAATTTCATCATCCCAACTGACTTTAAGTCCATCATTTTTCAGAGGGGTAGGTTGAAACCACCAAGCAGATCATTATTAACCATCATTAATCATCATCACAACCATTAATATTAACCATTAATATTAACAGTATATTAAATATTAACCATAGTTGAGTATGAATAATTTCACCATCCATGTGGACATATCATATGACACATTTCAGGGCTGGTTCTCCCCCTATAGGGGATGGTCAGAAATTTATCCCAGATGTTCAGCCAGGGATTTTTGAAAAATGTCTAGCCTAAAAAAAACACATATATATGAGATGATAGATGGATGATTCCAAATATCCATTATTTAATATTACCTATATCTATATATATATTGTATGTTTATATATATATAAGGATTCCAAATATGAGATGGATGACTGGATGACCATAAGCCATATACCATGTTTTGACCATGGCAGATAGGGCGTGTCGCGTGAAGATGGCGCCCCCTCCAGTCCCGCACACCCCAGTATGGCAAAGTCCCAAAGAAATTCCCCTCGACATTTCTGACCCCCCACCATTTTTGCAAGGAAAGATCGTGGAATGTTCTGAACCTCAACAGTTCTAAATATACCACAATTGATTCATGAAAAAAACGATGCAGGACAGCCTGATGAATTTTGACAGAAATATCCATCAATTTCCTTTACCTGAATCGTCCAGCTGGTCAATCCCAGTAAGCTTCGACTCCTTTTTTTTTAGGGTTTCAGCTTGCAGGAGAAACACAGAAGGGATAGAATTTGTAAATTCCCATTTATACATCCTATCTATGGGTAAATAGTAAACCATGTTTAAACACCAATTGGAACTCTGCCCCTAAAGAAGCAAATCCAAGTCTTCTTGCTGTAGATTTGCTTCACCCTGATTTCTCCAAGGTGTTTGATTGGCAAACCTTGGTTGGGCAGCTTTTGATGGATTCATGTGTGCTCGAAATGGGCGAACCTGCTACGGATCTAAAGATTTGTTTCCTTTTGTGGGCTAATGTACCAGATGTACTACGTAGCTTGTGTTAGTCTTACCGATTATATATATATTCCATTGATTCCATTATATACCTGTATATTACATCCACGGTCCACATGTTGGTTGATTTGGTGCCATCATGTCCAAGCTTCGCTATGGTCACACGATACCAGCAAAACTACAGAGGTCACGCTTAAATCACGTCGAATCCCACGAAATCTCCCGTTTTTTCTTAGGGGGGCCTGTGCCTGTGTGCCTTTGAAGTCGTTTTTCATCTTCAGGTGCCAATGCAGGTGGATCAGGCTCCGGTGCAAATGCAGGCTTGAAAAAAAAGGGGGTGCCGCCCGGGCAACCTTTGTATGGGGATACAGGATATAGGTTTGTCTGAAAGGTACCCCCAAAATTCGACGCCTCAGACTCATCATAATCATCATTTTGCCTAGTTTCTATGGCTACAACTGTGTTTGTAGGTCCCGTTTCAGTCTAACCCATGTATGTCTTGGTCATGAAATTTATTCGAGATATCGAAAAGCCATGAGATGTTTCAGAGAGTTTAGTTTGGTTTTTTCCCACAAATCGAAGTGGGTTAGATCACCCCAGATTATTGAATGGATTCGACTTATCCCACTTATAACTGGGGTGAACTAACCTACTTAGTAAGCGGGGTGAGCCACCAAGTAGATAGACGGTTTTTAACCAACTTGTAACTTGCGGCCCTGTCTTATCTGGATCCTGATCCAAGGACCGTTTTTTTAGCGCCGGATCACTCTGGGTAAAATGATTGGAAACAGCATCATCTCAAATTGTTCGAACAGAATTTTCCCCCCAAGCTTTCTTCTACTAAGATTGTAATTATCCATAATTATCCCCTTCTTCAAACCCAATTCTCCCTAAAATTGCAGTTATCCCATCTTTAAAACCCTACTTTACCCACTAGAATTGCACATATCCCATGTTGTAAAAACTCATTTTCACAAAATTACAATCATCCCACGACTTCTGAAAAAAAACCATTATCCCCATTCCAAAAAGCAATTCTGCAGTGGTTTTTCAAGTTGAAGACATGACGACTTCACCATAAAAATCCCATCTATATCCCCATTAAATACCACAAGACCCACCATACAATTGCAATTTTGTGGCTATACACAAACCGATTTCTCGTTCCGCGAGGTGCAAACAGTGCAAGCAACTGAGGCGTGGCCCAAAGATTTTTTTTTTACCAGAGTGGGTTATAACTGGTTTACCTTGATTTATGATGGGTTGATTCTTGATTTACTTTTATAACTGGTTGGTGGTTTGGAACATTTTTTATTTTTCCATATATTTGGAATAATCATCCGGTCCAAACTGACTAATATTTTTCAGAGGGGTAGGTATACCACCAACCAGATAATCTTTTAAATTTAATACTCTTTATATATCTAGGGTGCGCTTCATCTTGTAGACATGCAAGATGTTTGGTTGCTGCAAGCCTGGGTTTTTTCGAGCTGGTTTGGGATGGTTTGGGACTGAAAAACATTTATACCCTCTGGTAAACTAACAGTTTGCGAACTTGAAAATGGCCATCTTAGAAATAGTGAGTTTTCCCATTATATAATAGCATGGTGATTTTCCATAGCTACGTTAAATAACCAGAGGGTATAATTTATAATCATTAAGCATCAGTTACAATTACAGAGTAAATGTTCGCCATGTTCATAGGAGTGTACATTTCTATCTTTTTGATTTTTGGGAGATTCCTATAACCATTATTCGAAAGCTTAGAATGGTGACAGAGAATATAACAATGATTATAGTAACCCCCCGGAATCATGTGGGTACATATTTATGAAGTATACGCATTGCCAACCGGTAATTTGACATGGCTATGGAAGACATGGCCCATTTATCTTCCAGTGAAATCTATATGGCGGCCATGGGTCAATTTTTTAAAGACCTTGGGGACCACAGATGGCTTAGTCGATATTTAGTATTAACCCTCAAATTGTTGAGATTAATCCAATTAAATCCAGGTATGCCATCCAAGTTTTTTTTTCCCCATACATATATGGCCCATAGGATTTCCCATTGGCTAAGATGACCCTTGATGTCCCAGCAACTTAGAAAACCACTCGCAGGCGGCCATAGCGCAGCAACAGGCGCAATTGCCGCAGGTCACTTGGCATCGACACCGATTTGTGCTCCCCAAACGTTAACGGAGGGTCTGATAACTGGGGGCCTGGTGGCTTAGGGATTTATTGTGATTTAGGAGATAATTTTTTGTTTTATAATTATGAAGAGCTACAAGGATAACTATTATAAAACTAGGATCACCATGGATAACTGGGATACAAGGTGGGGGCTTCCCGTTATAAGTCGGTGTGTAATCCCCTTGTAACCGTTTGACCATCCCTTACCCCAAACAAAATTGGTGGTGCCCATAATCTCCGTACTGTTTACCCATTTGGGGGTATTTGGAGGGTTTACCCTCTGGTAATTTAACCTAGCTATTGAAAATTGCAATTTATAGCTGATTTACCCACTAAAAATTGTGATTTTCCATGGTTTTCTGATGTTTCCTGTATGTTCACCAGAGGGTAAGTAGGGTGTCTTGTACCATTGCAGGTATTGCTTCAACCATGTGATTGTCAGGTGAGCCAGTATGTTTTTTCAGCAAGGTGAGGTCTCCTAGGTAGCTAAGTTGACGCATCTAACGTACAAAAGGTTAACTGTTGGGTTGATCAGGAAAACATAACAAACATAACAAACATAACTATAGTTACTATCTGGTTGGTGGTTTGGAACCTTTTTTTATTTTCCATTTCATATATGGGATGTCATCCTAACCCCATTGACGAACTCCAATTTTTTTTTCAAGATGGTTATTGCACCACCAACCAGATTATTAAATAACCATATATATATATGTATAAACCATATATATTAACCATATATTAACAGTATATCAACCACAATGGTAGGTAGGTCCACCACCAACCAGTGATAGTTTCATGGATTAATCCCACCTCACTGGACTCGAAGGATCCGTTGGGAATGGCGTCATTTACCATGGTTAAAAAGATGATTGTTGCTAGTGTCCAAAATTTCACCATTTTATAGCTAGGTAAACCATCTATTTCTATGGGCCATGGCTTTCATGGCTATGTTAAATAACCAGAGGGTAATTATACCCAATGTCATAGAATTGGATGATGGGAAAATTTACACCGGAAAACCCGATCAATTTGATGGTAATTTAACCCATGGGTTTCCGGTTTAGATTTTCCCCAACAAACCAATCCAATGAAAATTTGAATTTCAACATTCGAGTTTTTCTTGCAAAAAAACAAGCACAGTCTTAAGTTGGTGATCTACCAAAGGCAGAACCTCAGCATTGGATGAAGCTCATTCTTAAGTCATGATCAGTTTACATGAGTTTGTCTGAAAATGGAGTAGCATCCAAGAACTTGATGTCATTAAAAAACCTACTTGGGAGTGCAGTCCCAGTTAGAAATGGCTATATATATATATACACCTATGATTAGAAGAATTTTAGCGGTCATTTGTTGTCGTTTTTTTGTCATTTTTTTTGTCTTTTCAGTTTGACAGACAAAACTGAATGGACAAAAAATGACAAACACACGACAAACAAACAAACAAACAAACAAAAATAACAAAACAACTATTTCAAGCATCTCCAGTGTATGGCTGCAAGTTTTTTCTAAACCTATGATTATAGAGATTATATCCCAACTTATGGAGGTTATCACCAGGACCATGACCCCCTTTGATGCCTCTTGATGCTGTAGGGGCTGTGAGCCCAAGTCGGAAAATGATCTTGAAATGGTGGGTCAGACCCACAGCTATCTTAGTTACAATAAGGTACCCTCTGGTGATTTAACATAGCTTTTGAACGTCGCCATAGAAATAATGAGTTTTCGGATTAAACATGGTGATTTTCCATAGTTATGTTTGTTTACAAGAACGTAGTGGTTGTTATATCATCTTTCTAAGCTGTTCCAAATCCACAACAACAAATTTGCATGACTGCTAGGTAGCATTAACCCCATGGCAAACTTCCAACTTGACCCCCACTTGCCCACATATTTGTTGCTTGAATTGTCGACATCAGTAAAAATAGTAAAACACATAAAAATGTATACAATCACATACTTACTTGTGCTAAACGTAGGGAATTTTCGGGAATGATCCACTGGCTAACTATCAATTTCATAATCCCAGCAACCCCCAGCAACCCATCCAGCCACCCTACGTAAAACGCACCAGCATAAGACAACCCATACGATAAGTCAATATCGACCCATGCGATTCACCCTTCAATTGATACCTGGAATCCCAGTCTGAAGATAGACCCATTTAACCGTTTGATGTTGGTTACCATCTAAATATGTTGATACCCTCCGGCAATCAAACATGGCAATAGATTGAGATGATGGTATTATATATGATGGTATTATATACAATAATACATACATGGTTACCATATACGATGGCAATATCGATTTACAGATGATTTTTTCCCTTGGCTCGCAAGCTCCATATTTCGTTTGGCTGGATTTTTCCCTTCGCCCACGCTTCACATTTCCCCAGAGTATTGGAAAAAACACCATGCTGTATAATAATCAATGGGAGATCTCCAGGATCCAATTGATGGAGGTACGTTAGTACCATTTTTCAGGCCATATTTTGTGGGATATTCCCTTACATAGGCCTGACAAATAGGCCTTACATATAGTAGGTACCGTAGGTACCTCCAATTTAGGATCCTGAAATGGCCATTGAAATAATCTGGTTGGTGGTTTGGAACATTTTTTATTTTTCCATTCAGTCGGGAATGTCTTCATCCCAACTGACTTTAAGTCCATCATTTTCCAGAGGGGTAGGTGGCTCAACCACCAACCAGTCATGGAAAAACCTCCTGAATATCCATAGAAAATATCTCGATGAATTATGGGTTGCTTGGTGACTCCCCATGATTCATGGAGATTTCGACCATCCATCCCTATGAATATCCGATGAATATCCATATTTCACCATAGAAAATTGGATATTTAAATAAAAGACACCATTTTAATATCCATTTAGTGAATTTAATATGATGGATTTAACAACATCTCAATTTTAATATCCCTATTGAATGGAACAATATTCAATGGAATGGAGATATCCCTATAAATGGAGATATTAAATCCATTTATTCATGGAGATATCTAAGAAATATCCATTTAAATCCCTATTTCTTCACCATCTTTTCCATGGAAAAATCGGGCCCCAGCTGTTCCAGCAGGTTTCCGGCCTCTCCGGTGTGAACCCAGTGACGCAGATGCCGCAGGTGGCCCTCGGCCTTTGGGTGGATACTAATTACCCTCTGGTAATTTAACATAGCTATTGAAAATGGCCATTTATAGTGGATTTTCCCATTAAAAATGGTGATTTTCAATAGCTATGTTAGTTTACCAGAGGGTATTGGGGGTTTCCTTAGAATGGAGGATCCCTAAGTCACCATGGTTGTTTCAATCCTAAGTCATGGTCCAAAGATCTGGAGGTACCTCCCCAGCTTTAGGAAAGCTCCAGTGGCTAAATGTGGAAGCGGGATAAAGTTATTGAATTCATCACCAGCTTGAAACTATTGATCAGTGAGAAACGGGCAATACTCCATATACTTGGAAGATGATATGTTTTCCCTGCGTGGAGAAAGGCCGTAAACGGGGCTTTCATGTTAAATTTTGATGGAGTAATGAATGATAATGGCGATATATGCATGGATATATGTACATATATATATATTATATATGGATACATGGATATATGGATATATGATATATATATATATACACGTATATGTATATATACACGTATATATGGATATACATATGCAGATATGATAATTGATAATATTGGACATAGTTGCGGACTATGATAAGCGTACATATCTCCACTATGTAGCAGTGCACATGTGTGCAAATGACATGCAGTTGACTATTATTTGATAATATTGAAAGAAATGACATGCAGTGCACATGTGTGTACATCAAAGATCTAAAGATGTGTGCAAAGAGAATTGGCCACTCCCCAAAAATGTGATTTTTGAATCCATAGGAAATGAACATTTTTTTTTGTTTTTTCAAAAGTACGTGACAACGGAAATTCACGTTACCCTCTGGTTATTTAACATGGCCATGGTATAGATGGCCCATTTATAGATGGTTTACCTAGTAAAAATGGTGATTTTCCATGGCTATGTTAAATAACCAGATGGTATATATATATATACACATATGTATAGTATCTAGTATAGTATAGTGTTATATAGTGTTATATAGAGTATTCTATAGTCGAATTTGATGGTCTAACCTTTTCGGGTTCCTGGCTATGGCTATCTGGTCATGTCGGGGTCACCGAGATTCGCAGAAACGTGGTCATCCTCTATGGTATACCCTCTGGTAAACGTTTACATAGCTCTGGAAAATCACCATTTTGAATGGATAAATCAACTGTAAATGGCCATTTTCAATAGCAAACTGTTAGATTACCGGAGGGTAAATGGTTTTTTGAGATAGAATTATTGATGGTTGGCGCCTTTTAGAGATGGGCAATGGATATTTCGCTTCTTGGGGCATGCCGGGGAGGGGACTTCATAAAGACAGCCTTCATTCGCAGATGTTTAGACACGGTGCATGGTCATGAATCCTGCGATATGCAACAGATATGCCCATTGGTCCAAAAGAAACATGTTTTTTTTTTGAAGGAGGTATGCCCTCTGGTTATTTAACAGTTCGTCATGGAAAATCACCATTTCTAATAGGTAAACCATCTATTTCTATGAGCCATGGCCATTTTTTTCTACAGGGAAATTGGTCCCTATAAAAATGGAGGTATTTCCATGGGAGAATCATCAACTAAACTGGTTTTCGCGGTGGTGGTTTAAGGAACCATGGAATTCGATGACTTTCCAATGGAAAAATGGGAATGTCATCATCCCAACTGACGATTCGTCCAGAACATTTTTCAGAGGGGTTGGTGGCTCAACCACCAACTTCAGTGAATATCCATGAATATCCACAGACATATTACGAACTATGATAAAACATTCTCATCCATAGTTCTCTGCCACTTCCCAATGGTTTTTCGCTTCGAAAAAACCGTAGGTGTCTTTGCCGGTGCAGGCGTCTCTGGTGGCCGCACATCAAACAGCTCAAACTCGTGGTTAACCCACTTATAATTCCTGGTTGGTGGTTTGGAACATTTTTTATTTTCCATAGTATATGGGATAATCCTTCCCATTGACTAATATTTTTCAAGATGGTTAAAAACCACCAATCAGATATTAAATCATGAGATCCCCATGATATCTTCAGAACTTTAGAAACAGAAAACAATCCCCCAGTTGTAAGTTCGTTTATAAACTATGGTTAGCCACAATCAAGATATAAGTCAACTTAGCGACATAGAGGAGGGCCTCACCCTGTCGAAGAGTTGGAAAGAATAAAGGATAACATGAAGAGAACATCATCGAATTACTATCCTGCAAGTACTTTTCGGGATCTTATAAGGTTCTGAAAAAACACGGTATAATGTATGAACAAACATTTGGTTTGCAACAAATTGCAAAGGGGTGCGGAATATAACCACCTAAAACGGGATATGGGATTTATGGAAAATATGGAGATATTTCATGGGATACCATGGTATATATATATACATATTATATGGTAATTTCTCCCATCAATATATAGATATATTTATGATTATTCACCCCGCTTCGCGTGGGGTGGCCGCCCACACCGCAGGTTTATTTCGGTCCGTGAGAGGGGCTAAGGGTGGTTTTCCCCCGTGGGGGCTCCCCAAGCTAAGAATTTTCACTTTCCCCCCCCGTGGGGGCTCCCCAAGCTAGGGAATTTTCACTTTTCCCCCCTGTGGGGGCTCCCCAAGCTAGGGAATTTTCACTTTTCCCCCCCGTGGGGGCTCCCCAAGCTAGGGAATTTTCACTTTTCCCCCCCGTGGGGGCTCCCCAAGCTAGGGAATTTTCACTTTTCCCCCCCGTGGGGGCTCCCCAAGCTAGGGAATTTTCACTTTTCCCCCCCGTGGGGGCTTCCCAAGCTAGGGAATTTTCACTTTTCCCCGCCGTGACAGCTTCCCAAGCTATGGAATTTTCACTTTTCCCTCCCTTGGAGGTTCTCCAAGCTGCGGAATTTCAAATAGCTAGACAACGACGCCTAGATAGTCCCCCAAATCCCGTGTTCTTTGAATGTGTTTCCATGTTTTTGCAATGGTTTCCTTCAAAGCACGGTACTTTACACTTTTGTCGCCATAAAACCGGTCGAAAACATCATGTTCGACAATGCTTCCAATTCCCTTATCTCCCCAACCGTTGAAAATACCGCTATTTACAGTGTTTTCTTCAATTTTTCCATGTTCCAATGCCGGTAGCCAAACTCCAACATATATATAAGAAATCCTTCCAAAACATTGTTTTTGACAGTGTTTTTCCAATGTTTCCAGTCAAACAGACGGTAATTTACACGTTTTTTGCCATAAAGGCAGTAAATCCTTCCAAAACATTGCTTTTGACAGTGTTTTTGTAATGTTTCCAGTCAAGCATACGGTAATTTACACGTTTTTTGCTATAACGTCAGTCCAAAACACTTGTTTTGCAGTGTTTTCAATGCTCTGGCATCCAAAAACCCTGCAAAATCTTGCTATGTACAATGTTTTTTTCATTTTTGGCCGTTTTTCCATTGCCGGAAAGCTACCAAAATGACCCAAAATTCCATTTCAATACCCTCTTGCGCTCAGACACCCAAAAATCCTCGAAAAATGTCGAAAACACCACCGTATTCTGGTCTCGGTGCGAAACCGTTTTTTCCCCCCCCCAGCTAAAGCTGATATAGCGACTGCTATATTAACAAATGTCATTGAGCATTTAGTGTTGCTGTTTTGCCCCCCAATAAGCACGCCTTCACCGCCAAAGCGGTGTGGGCGGATTTATGTACCATTGTTATGTTCACATATATAGATATGTATTTATGATACCAAATTACCATATATATAATTATCTGCAGGGTATATGAGAGAATTGCCAAATTACCATATATAATTATAATATATAATACTACCAAATTACTATATATCTATGATATTACCAAATTACCACATATAATAATATAATATGTATATATATATATACGTATATACATACAGCCAGCATTATGGTGATTGGCGCAGTGTCAAAACCTGCGCCGTTTTAAGGGACGATCACTATTTTTAAGAGGTAGATCTTGGAACTCAATGGGCCATGGTGTCCATAGAAAACGATTAGATTTCAAGAAAATAAATCATTTTAAGTTCCATTATATCTGCATTGAATGCCCATTTATGGATGAGTTTCCCATTATAATGCATTATATATACTATATACCCTTTGCTTCTTTAACGTAGCTATGGAACATTACCATGTTGATAGGTAAATCATCATGTTTATCATCTATTTCGATTAGGGCCATGGCTTCCATAGCTACTATAAATAACCAGACGGTATATATGGTGATTTCCAGAGAGTAATCCCTTGGGCATTCAACCAATCCTCAGATCTCGTGCCAAACCATGCCAGGGTGGCACTCAAAAGCGCCAGGGTGGCACTTCCGTTGAGGCGGAAACTGCAGGATTTACGGGAACGGATGTAGGTAACGAATGAATAACTTCCTGGTGCTAAACGTAGGGAATGGATGGGAATGGGGGTTGCTGGGATGATTATTGATAGTTAGCCCGAGGATCATTCCCGAAAATTCCCTGCGTAAAACGCACCAGTAAGATGAATAAACATCACAAAATACCAGATTATTATTAACCATCATTAACCATCATCATAACCATTAATATGAACCATGAGCACCATAACCATGTGTCATCATTCCCATGGCTGGAGAATCCCGAGAATCCCTGAACTCGGCATGATGTAAGATATTTGTAAAATAAGCCCCATGGTGAATGGGATATGGGTTATTATCATAGGTGTTAATGGGATATTATTATTATTATAGTGGGATATATATATATAATATTATGAGATATATTACAATATTGGTGAATGTAAATGGTGGATGTTTTCATGGTATCGTTGGGTAATGAGCCCTTAATTTTACTGACATGAGCCCCATCAGTCACGGCAGTGGTGGGATGGGACGGGATGGTTTTATGCCGCCTCTGGTACAAAAAACATGGAAATTCACAGCATTCTTAAGAGGTTAAATCAACGGACTATTTCTAGGATTCTAGGGCCATGGCTTCTATGTCGCTACCTTAAATTACTAGAGGCTATCATTTAGTTCGATGATTTTCCAATCTTGACATTTCCATCCATCTAATTTCCATTGAATTTTGATGCATCTAAACTTAATGTCCATTTCCAGTTTCCATCCGTGCCGGAGAAGATTGTTTGCGGCTGAAATTCCACGCAGCGGGAACGTTCCTGTTGCGAATGGAACGACTCAGAACTTGGATGGTGTTTGGGGGGCATAAAGTATGAGACCACCATTGGCTGCCAAGCGTTTTGGCGTTCGTCACTTTAAGGCTCCATGTTGTTGGTTTTGCATCTCATATACTGTATCAATATCTCATCTAATTATGTATATCCAATCATACTGTGATTATACCGTGATTATACTGTGATTATGAACATATCCCATTATCCCAAAGCAACATATCTCATCCCATTAATATCTATTGAAATATCCATCATGTCCCTTAAAGTTTTGAGATCTTTCGTGACATCGCTGATCAGGCCTCGAATTTGGCCGAGATGCAGGCGGTCTTGCTAGCCTCTGGTAAACATACCCTCTGGTTATGTCAAAATAGCTATTGAAAATGGCCATAGAAATAGTGAGTTTTCCCATTAATCGCATGGTGATTTTCCATAGTTGTGTAAACGTTTACCAGAGGGTACAAAAAACTATTGAAAGATCCACCATGTTTAATGGGACATGTCACGAAGTAAATCACCATTTTCAATAGCTATTTTGACATAACCAGAGGGTATGTAGGATATGATCGTGGAATTATGGGATGGGGATGGATGGGGATATGATGAACTATGAAACAGTTCGATGAACATGGGATCCATGACATGTAATGGAATAGCATGGAATAGGAGTATGGGATGAGACATGGAATAGGATGGTACAACATGATACTAACGTGGCTTGTAACTGGGGGCAGTTCAGCCTCTTATGGGATAATTCGAGCCAGGAATTGGGGACTTACTAACCAGGGTTATTAACCACAATTATGGGATGATCCTCCAAGAAGTTTTCCGGAACCACAGAAAAGGATCAAAAGAAAAACAAATAGTGTTTGCTATTGAAAATGGCCATTTATAGTTGATTTACCCATTGAACATGGTGATTCTCCATAGTTACTTATATGTCATCTGGTTGGTGGTTTGGAACCATGGATTTTTATGACTTTCCCATCATATTGTTTTTTTTCCCCAAGCAGCTCTTGAGCTGAATGGGGTTCTCAATTCTTGTTAGAAACGGCCTTTGTTCCCTCATGATTTGCTGGCTCCTCCAAGTTCCGGCTGGGGTTCCGGTGCTTGTCTCCCTTCTTCTCTCTTCTTTGGTTCCGGTGCTTGTCTCCCTTCTTCTCTCTTCTTTCTTTCCTCAGGAAAGAGGTTCTGTTCCATCATGATTTGCTGGTTCCTCCTGGTTCCGGCTGGGGTTCCGGTGCTTGTCTCCCTTCTCTCTTCTTTGGTTCCGGTGCTTGTCTCCCTTCTTCTCTCTTCTTTGGTTCCGGTGCTTGTCTCCCTTCTTCTCTCTTCTTTCTTTCCTCAGGAAAGAGGTTCTGTTCCATCATGATTTGCTGGCTCCTCTTGGTTCCGGCTGGGGTTCCGGTGCTTGTCTCCCTTCTTCTCTCTTCTTGTTTCTCTCAGGACAGGGGTTCTGTTCCATCATGATTTGCTGGTTCGGTTCCGGCTGGGGTTCCGGTGCTTGTCTCCCTTCTCTCTCTCTTCTTTCTCTTCTTCTCTCAGGACAGGGGTTCTGTTCCATCATGATTTGCTGGTTCCTCCTGGTTCTGGGTTCCGGTGCTTGTCTCCCTTCTTCTCTCTTCTGTTCTTTCTCTCGGTTGCTGTCTCCCTTCTTCTTCTTCTTCTTCTAGGACAGGGGTTCTGTCCACTGATTTGCTGGTCCCTCGGCGGCTGGGTTCCGGTGCTTGCTCCCTTCTTCTCTCTTCTTCTTTCTCAGGAAAGGGGTTCTGTTCCATCATGATTTGCTGGTTCCTCCTGGTTCCGGCTGGGGTTCCGGTGCTTGTCTCCCTTTCTTCTCTCTTCTTGTCTTTCTCAGGACAGGGGTTCTGTTCCATCATGATTTGCTGGTTCCTCCTGGTTCCGGCTGGGGTTCCGGTGCTTGTCTCCCTTCTTCTCTCTTCTTTGGTTCCGGCGCTTGTCTTCCTTCTTCTCTTTTTCTTTCTTTCCAGGAAAGGGGTTCTTTCCATCATGATTTGCTGGTTCCTCTTGTTCCGCGGGGTTCCGGTGCTTGTCTCCCTTCTTCTCTCTTCTTTGGTTCCGGCGCTTGTCTCCTTCTTCTCTCTTCTTTCTTTCCTTAGGAAAGGGGTTCTGTTCCATCATGATTTGCTGGTTCCTCTTGGTTCCGGCTGGGGTTCCGGTGCTTGTCTCCCTTCTTCTCTCTTCTTTGGTTCCGGTGCTTGTCTCCCTTCTTCTCCCTTCTTGCTTTCCTCAGGACAGGGGTTCTGTTCCATCATGATTTGCTGGTTCCTCTTGGTTCCGGCTGGGGTTCCGGTGCTTGTCTCCCTTCTTCTCTCTTCTTTGGTTCCGGTGCTTGTCTCCCTTCTTCTCTCTTCTTTCTTTTCTCAGGACAGGGGTTCTGTTCCATCATGATTTGCTGGTTCCTCCTGGTTCCGCTGTCTCCCTTCTTCTCTCTCCCTTCTTCTGGTTCCGGTGCTTGTCTCCCTTCTTCTCTCTTCTTTCTTTCCTCAGGACAGGGGTTCTGTTCCATCATGATTTGCTGGTTCCTCCTGGTTCCGGCTGGGGTTCCGGTGCTTGTCTCCCTTCTTCTCTCTTCTTTGGTTCCGGTGCTTGTCTCCCTTCTTCTCTCTTCTTTCTTTCCTCAGGAAGGGGTTCTGTTCCATCATGATTTGCTGGTTCCTCTTGGTTCCGGCTGGGGTTCCGGTGCTTGTCTCCCTTCTTCTCTCTTCTTTGGTTCCGGTGCTTGTCTCCCTTCTTCTCTCTTCTTTCTTTCCTCAGGAAAGGGGTTCTGTTCCATCATGATTTGCTGGTTCCTCCTGGTTCCGGCTGGGGTTCCGGTGCTTGTCTCCCTTCTTCTCTCTTCTTTGGTTCCGGTGCTTGTCTCCCTTCTCTCTTCTTTCTTTTCTCAGGAAAAGGGTTCTGTTCCTTCATGGATTTCCTGGTTCCTCCTGCTTCGCGCTGGGGTTCCGGTGCTTGTCTCCCTTCTTCTCTCTTCTTTCTTTTCTCAACAGGAGTGTGCCAGACAGTTCCATGAATTTTGAATTGCACATGACCTTGGTGGAAACATGCGTTGTTGCTGTTTGGGGTCTATGCTGGTGTATTTTTTTTTATAATCCCAACTGACAAAGTCATATTTTTCAGAGGGGTTGAAACCATCAACCAGTGTTACTTGCCTCATATGTTCAGCTTCCCAACTTGTCTACCTATGACTTGGGGTTGTCAAAGAGAGTTGTGCAACGTTGTAAGTGCATGTCAACAATATAGATGGATGTGTCATGATGTGTCTAAAGCTGGGGGTTTACCACCAGATGATCATTTTTGATGGGAAACAGATTATACACGAGATTTAGGGTGTTTTCCCATAAATTTCAGAGAAAACCAAACGGTTCAAGGTTCTATATCCCTATGATTTCCCATGAAAACTCCATTAAATCTCAACACATATCCTTATTAAGGTTGGTAAATTCCATAATTGGTTCTATGTTTTCAGCCCAAATACGTAGAACCACAATTCGTCAGATTCTTGTTCAAGGCAATAGTTAGGCAGCCAATGGGAACTGCAGATAGGATCCGCTGTAAGACATATTTAGCCTACTAATCTAAGGCATATGGTTATTAACTTAGCTACTTTTGATGCCTGGGATGAACACCCAAAAGTATTCAAGTTCTTTCAGTGGCAAATGTCCGGCTTCTTCAGTGACATGTGGGGTATGGCTCCAGATGTTCATTTTATTAAGAAGAGAAGGCTAGTTTGAAGGGGTGCTTGGGCGCGGTTCCAGTTATAAGTGGTATTAAACGGTTATATACCAATGCTTACAGGGGTTATATCCCAAATTGTGGAGGCTATCTCCATGGATATATATATATATATACGTATATATATATATATATCCATAGTAATCCCAAGTGCACCCAGAATCCGCCCTTTTGAGAGAAAAACAGTAGAGAAAAACAGCCAATTAAAAACTGGATATGTTTTGAGTGAAGAGAAGATATTGCAGTGACTACTGATCACCGGCATTTTCCTGACTTCCATAAAAGATCATTCTATTCATTTTTTGTTGGGGTCAAAACTTGGGTAACTTGTCCATATTGGGGGATATTAGTTAAAATGTTCATCAAATCATGAGCAAAGAAATATATCATCAAGATAACGATTTCCATTTTGGGATGGATGACCATACATGACCATAGCCTCATATGCCATGTAGCTTGATGACATTTGATGACCATTACGATCCATTACACAAAAAAAGGTATCGTGAAGTTCCCATGTCGCCTTTGCATGATAAAAAACGGCACTTTTCCTCTGGGATTTTTTGCAATTCTCGTAGTATGTTTCGATTTGTCTACGGCATATAATATATATATATACATATATATATATATATTATTATGTATAAAACATCTATGGCGTATGGCTTCACACGTTACTGATTGGTGCTTTGGAACATTTGTTATTTTCCATAATATATGGGATAATCCTTCCCATTGACTAACTTTTTTCAAGATGGTTAAAACCACCAACCACGTTATTTTCGACCACATTTTTTCCATAGTTCGGCTACCACCAATACCACCATTTTATCGGCGCAGGCCCAACTGGCGATGGACATGTTCCCTCAGGCGGGGCCAGGCGGTGCTAAAGCGGTACCGCAATTTTAACTGCGGTTTTCATGGGAAAATCAATGGAAGATATGGAGAATCAATGAGAAAATCATGGGAAAATGGAGGCTTGATTTGGAAATTTCATTGGAACATATGGGTAAAATATGGTAAAATCAATTAAAATCAGCTATTTGCTACTATAAATGATTATATTTTTGTTGGAACATTATGACTAAAGAACCTCAACAACCCACTAATATTGGCATTTGGTATTGGTGAAAAAAAACATGATTTTTCAGCACCTTTTTTACATGGGAATGTTTCAGAAAATCCTATGGTCCTATGGGAGCCTGGGATCTGGGGCGACCCAACTTCGATGACACGACTTGGCAAGTGGCCGAGGACACCATGTTCCCTGGAAGGTGCTATTTTTTTAAAATCTATGTTGCATTTCTACAGTTTATATCAGTTTATCAGTTTCTGGGCTGGTTAAAGTTCAGGCTGGTGAATAAGATGTTCAATAGGTATCAATAGGTCCACAATATGCTGCAGCTGTGCCATTTCCGTTGACGGATGACGATATATACACTGGCTACTTGGGGGTGCAGCTCCACATTTGCGGTGATGCAACCATAGTGATCATACGGGTTACCCTCTGGTAAACGTTTACAGTTCGCGAACTTGAAAATGGCCCAGTCGAAATCGTGGATTTAACCATTGAACATGGTGATTTTCCATATACATCACCATTTTCCCATGGTTTTCCCATGGTTTTCCCATGGTTTTCCCATCGAAAAATATCACGGTGATTTTCCCATGAGTTTTTCGTATGTTTACCGGAGGGGATTCATCCCAACCCTTGGGGCCCTTAGATCAAATTGGTTACAGCCATTTTTTTTTCCGTTTGGCCCAGTCGAGAACCAAACGGATTCACGTCGGGCCATGTTTTGGAAGGCTATACCCTCTGGTAAACTAACATAGCTATTGAAAATGACCATTTATAGTGGATTTTCCCAGTGAAAATGGTAATTTTCCATAGTTATGTTAGTTTACCAGAGGGTAACCCCAATGTACCCCAATATATGTATACATATATATATATATATCTATCTCTGGATAAATTATAACGACCTCACGTCGCGACCGAGCCCTGGAATCATGGTTAATAAGGGAAATCATCCCCAAATAGCCCTAATTCAGGTTGGTGAATTATTATAATTTACCCATATATATATATATATATGTATAAATATATATATATGCTTGGTGGTTTCAAACATGGCTTTTATTTTTTCCATAATATATGGGATAATCATCCCAACTGGACCTTCATATGTTTCAAGATGGTTGAAACCACCAACCAGTATATAATTTCGAATTCTTGGGGTATAGTTCAGTTTGTAGATACGTGCTGGGTGGATTTACATGACACCAGGTAATCGGGCAACCACTCCCAGATTTGCTACTGAACTGGCACTATGATGATAATATGATGATACTATGATGATAATATATGATAATATATGATAATGGCTTGGCCCATGCACCATTTTTGGAGAAACTCATTACATATCCCACATCATATCCAAATTGTATACCCATAACATGGTGAGTTTAGTGTTCTGATTTAATTGAAGGAATTGGTTAAGGTATCCGTTATTGGTGAGATCAATTGGCTGTATGCACCCTCATGTTGGCTCACTGCCGAACATCTAGTATAATGTGACAAACCCAATTCCAGAAAACCATAAACCATCCAAGTCGGAATTGTTTATACCACCATGTACAAGCCATTTCTTCTAAACTTAGAGACTCTTTTTATTATGACTATCTGATGTTCATTGGATTTTGCCACATCCCCATCATTTTCTGGTTGCGAAATCCATCACCAGTCGAGAAAAATCCCGAAATCCAAATCGTCATATGACCTCCCTCCAGTCACCCAGTCATGTAGGTTTCATTACTACAGTGGATGGAAGAAATCCTGCACCACCTGGGATGGTAGAAAGCCTATAAAGAATGGGATAAACAACCTATTAAGCGGTGCAGGATTTCTTCCATCCACAGTAGCACCATGGAGCGGCCATGGGATAAAATTTTTGTCCTGTCCCCCATCTGAAACACCGGGCCGATTCCCCACCAGTCGCAGGGCCGTCGAGCGCCGATGAACCGGTTGCTTCGCGTGCCGCAGCACCACCATTCCGCTGCTCGCGGGCGCATGGGACACGAGGAGAGAGGTTTGAATGGGAAAATCATCGGGAAACATGGACATTTTTTTTTTAAATAAATGGGCTTTAATGGGAAAATCATCATTATGTATATATATATATATACATGATATGTATATATACACATGATATGTGTGTATATATATATACACATGTTTTGCATATATATATACACACATTTTAATATGTATATATATAATACACATATGCATATATATATATACATGTACATTATGTATGTAATTATATTATGTATATATATATATGTATGATTAAATGGTGGATGTCTGTTGAAACCTCAAATTGTAAGGGAAATTCACCATGTACTTTGATGATTTCCCAGCGAACTAAGCCTCCATTTAGTTAGGGGCTTTCCGTTGCCACGTTTGAATACCGGAGGGTCCTATGGGGGTGATGGGCAGCCTAGTGGGAATAGAATGGGAACATTATAAGGAATATACTGGAATTTACCCTGCTTGCGCATGAAATGGGGTGCAGTTGGGATTGCAAATGGATATAACCATGGCCAAAAACGTCCATATAAATTGAGATATAATTATATATCCCGCGTCAAATGATGTGTATATAATGGTATATAATCACTTAGTTCACTTAGTTCACTACAGCCCCAAGTAGTAGGGGGCATGATCCCCAAGGATTGTCCAGGCGTCGTCGCACTTTAACACTGAAATGGTCTAATTAGATCTAATTAGAGTCTGACATGGATGATTTGGGGGTAACCCCATGACTAAACGGAAACCTCCTTGAAATTTTGTTTGAAGGGTGACATCTTGTTTTTTGGTGCTCTCCAGATGGTGTCGCCAAATTTGGAACGCCGCTGACCTGCCATGGCCACCCTGGCTGGTTGGTGGTTTGGAACATTTTTATACATTTTTATTTTTCCATATATTGGAAATAATCATCCCAACTGACTAATATTTTTCAGAGGGGTCGGTTGAAACCACCAACCAGCTGGCTATTTCCCTTCAGGACGACTTCCTACATCAGCATCCCTTGTGTCCCATCAGCGAGTCCGGAATGATGGCCGTCCCTGGGTTATAACAAACGCCGCCCTTGGAAGCGGAGAGATCTACTGGGGTACCTACGGGAAGCCACGGGTATGCACACGTGGCAATGGAGAATGTAGGGCCCATCTAAGATCGTTGATTTCCCCAAAAAACTAAACCTCCATTTCATCCAAATGGCGATGAAATATTGGGAAATTATAGTAGTTATTGCTATACTTATAGTTATTTGGGTTATGTATCGACTATAATAATTTGGGTGTTTTTTTTCAGTACGTTATTTACATTGTGCTTTGGGTGATTGGTTGAGATGACTGATAACAATTATTTTGTTTTTTTGGGTTTGTCTGACAAGTGAGCACCTCATTCCAACCATTGGTTAATCCACTGGGAAAATGATGATAATCCATTAGATTTGAGGGTACCCCATTGTCAGACAAACCCAGTTGGGAAAGTCTGACGCAAACATATATATCTGGGTAAATTTCATCACGACCTCACTGCGACCTCACTGGAATCATGGTTAATAAGGGAAATCATCCCCAGATGGCCTTAATTCAGGTTAGTGAAATATTATAGTTTACCCAGATATATATATATATACCTTTAATGATTGCCATTTTAAGTAAGGACCTTTACCCCCATTCCTCCAATATTTAGTGGACACGCATTGAAAATAATAAAACATAATCACCACCACCTCCTCCTCCACTTCCTCCACTTCCTCCACTTCCTCCACTTCCTCCACTTCCTCCACTTCCTCCACTTCCTCCACTTCCTCCACTTCCTCCACCTCCACCTCCACGTCCTGCTACTGCTACTACTACTACCACCACTACAACAACAAGAACTGCTACTACAACACCACAGCTGTTGCTGATCGATGATGATGATGGTGATGATTTTGATGAGAATTGAATGATTTTGATGTTGATGGTGACGATGACGATG